TGATCAGTAGGTTGGGGTGGAGCCTGAGGTTTTCAATTCTTCACAAATAATAATCCTCTTGCATCAACATACCAACTTGCAGGAATTACAGAGTGCACCACCACACAATTGAATTCTTCATAAGTGATAACACTCCTGAAGATTATGAATCACACTTGTAGCAAGGATCTAAGGGACACCACTGGCCAGAGCTGGGCAGGGCTCTCAAACAGTATCTCAATTATGTACCAGGATCTAATCATTTTCTCTGAGGGAGAGACACTTCATTCTGTCAGTGCAAGGAAAGACAAAACAAAAAACAACAAAAAAATCACCCTATTAAAAGACACATGAAGGCCAGTAGATTCATTTTATAAACAATTAACTGCACCTGAACTAAAATATTAGCATTTCTCACCATAGGCACCTCTAGTACTGCAAGGCAATCCCCTCCACCGTGCGGCCTGCGCATTGGTTTCATTAATGAGGTTCTTGGCATAAAAGTTAGCTAGCAGAGATCGAAATAAAACACACAGACTCAGTTACCTTTTTCTATTGCCAGGTCCGAGACGGTTCCCCTCTCTGGCTCCAACCTCGAACCACCCGTAGGGCAGCAAGGATTACTCAGGGCTAGCAGGAGAGAGAGAGCGAGCACGCCAGGGAGTAGCCTTTTATTGGGGAACAAGAAATTCAGGGGATAATTCCATCCAATGAAGGTTGAGGGGGGGCCGCACTCCAAGGTCAGGGTCAGTGATTGGGCCCCTGGGGTCAGTGGTCAGTCACACCCCCACACGGATGGGTTCTCTCATCAGGAAAGGGCCAGGAAAATTCCGACACAGCCAGAAGCCTCAGACCCAAACTGGGAGTCACCCAGTCACGCGTGAGAATGACTCCCCACAATCCCCCTTCAATAACAGAGAAAGATGGCGACTCTGGATTTGCAAAGTTTAAGGACCAGGCCTCAGATTGTAACAATATCCTCTAGGTACCTCAACGGTGTGAGGCCTGAACAGACAGTTGCATCCCTTGATCAGTTTATCTCTACTTAGAACAAGCAGAAAAGTTAATGCTGTAGAAATAGGGCAAGTGATAACAAAACAAAACAAAAAAAAAAAAACCACAATGGAAATAAAATCCAAAAATGAATATACAAGAATGTATTTAGTTTTTCTTATTTGTTCTATTTTTAGGGATGATAACCTAATGATCAGCCACCAAAGATAAGAATAAATTCATGAGGACAATGATCTTTTCTCTGACCACAGTATATAGTATACAGAAGTACCTCTGATGCCCAATAAATATTTACTGAGTAAATGAATAAATGAACATTTTAGGAGAGTGGGAGTTAATTTCTGTGGTATTTACATCTTAGAACCAAAGATTCCAAGGACTATAAAGAATTCTTCTTAATGATTTCAACCTCAGGATAGGGTGGCTGTAAACATTATCTGATTTCCTGAAGACAACCAACATCTCTCTTGCCTTTAACTTATTCAAACAATAAAAGCTACAGACAACCCTTGCATTCCTACACAGAACTTCCTTTTCTCTGAAAACAGAGAGGAAGGCCTAAACTTAACCACAGAGGAGAAACTGCTACATGTTGACAGGTTTTTGATTTTTTTTTTTTTTTTTTTTGTACCAAGGATTGAACCCAGGGGCACTTAACCACTAAGCCACATCCCCAGTTCTTTTAATTTTTTTTTTTTTTTTTTTTTTGAGACATGGTCTCATTAAGTTGCTTAGGGCTTTGCTAAGTTGCTGAGGCTGGTCTTGAATTCACAATCCTCCTGCCTCAACCTACCAACTTGCAGATTATACACCTGGCACATGATTTCTTAACATGAAACAAATTTCACAAGATATTTTTAAAGGGTAAGAAACAAAAGTAAAGATAAAAGATATGACAAGAGTTCCGGGAAAGGTTAAACAAATCTTAAAACAAAAAGAGTCACCATGTGTTAGAGGGTAGGGTTGTGGCTCAGTGGTAGAGCGTTTGCCTCTGATGTGTGAGGCACTGAATTCAATCCTCAGCACCATACAAAAATAAATAAATAAAATAAAGGTATTAAAATAAAAGAGTTACCATGTGATCCAGTAATTTGTTAATATAATCTAAAAAAGTAAAAACATAGCTGGCTGCCATGGTGCCTGCCTGTAATCCTAGCTACTAGGTAAGGAGATTGAGGTAGGAGGACCCCAAGTTCAAGGCAAGACTATGCAATTTAGTGAGGCCCTGTCTCAAAATTAAAAATGAAAAGGCTGGGATATAGAGTGCTCTGGGTTCAATCCCCAGTACTACACACATACCCACCCCCCCCCAAAAAAGAAGAAGAAAACGGTAAAAACATCGCCGGGATGGTGGTGCAAGCCTGTAACCCCAGTTACTAGAAAAAGTGAGGCAGAATTGCAAGTTTCAGACCAGCCAGACAATGTCTCAACTTAGCCAGATTCTGTCTCAAAATTGAAATAAAAAAGAGCAGGGCCCAGCATGGTGTCTGGCTGGAGGCTAAGGCAGGAAGATCACAAGGTCAAAGCCAGCTTCATCAAATTAGCAAGGCCCTAAGCAATTTAGCAAGACCTTGTCTCAATAAATAAATAAATAATGATGATAATCAAGAATGAATACATATTGTACATAATGTATGATTCTGTTTATATGAAATGCCCAGAACAGGCAAATCCATAGAAACAGAAAATAGTTTAGTTGACAGGCGCTGGTAAGAATAACAACTAGGGATATGGAATTTTTCAGGGGGTGGGGGTGGTGATTCTGGAATTAATCAATAATTAGTAATTTTGTAAACACACTAAAAGCCACTGAATTGAATGCTTTAAAACACAAATTTTATGGTATATAAATTATATCTCAACTGGAAAATATCAGGGACTGGAGGCATATCAGTGTAAAGTGCTTGCCTAGCCTGCACAAGGCTCTGGGTTTGATCCCTGGTATCACCCCCGCCCCCAACATCATTTGCCAAAAGTAAATAAAATCAGCAAGCAAAAAACTAAATACATCCCTTCCTTTCTGATCTTCTCATTCTTCCCCATGCAAACTCTTTGGCTAAAAAGCCATATATTTTATGTAGTTATTCTGAAAATGACTGGGACTCTAAAAATATCCTAACCACCAAACAAAACCAACTGCTTATTTTGATAATATTTTTGTAACACAGACCTTCCTTAAAACACAAGTTAACAGTGGACTTATTCTACAAACCCAAACACACACAATTGAATAGAATTAGCCTTTGTAACTGGCACTGGCACAAAACACATTCCAGTTGACAAAAGAGAACCACACTTAGCCTCCTTGTCAGAAGGCAATGTCATCAGAAGTCTGTTGATGGATGCTCCTTTAGTTTTTTTTTCTGTCTCAGGCCCAAGACAATGGCTTTCAAAACGAAACAGAACAAAAAGGAAAACCATACTAAATAACACTAAATTATAGGAAAGTATGTCCTCTATTTAAATTATTGGATATAAAATTTAAAAGAATATTGGTTTGGAAATTGAATACTAAACCATGAAGGATGGAGTCACACTAATTTTTTTTAATGCATTCAATATCACATGAGAAGTTAATAAGTACCACTCCCAGGTGTTCACTCCCTTTATGTCTATTGATACTTAATTACTGATATTGTTAAAACAATTGTTATGCTCAGACATATTCTAACTGGCTGGCAGTTGTATATTAAGAGGTATTTTAATATCTTTTTAAACAATGTCCTTGAATTAGAACCTTTACATCAAAATAGCAGAAAGAATAATGCAGATGTTTTCAAAGGAAAATCCAGAGAAGTGTATTCGAATGCCGTGAAAAAGTGTTCACCAAATCATACCTAGATTCTAGTCTCAGTTTTGCTACTAAAATGAAAATGATGTCTGGCCTACATCAGTTCTACAAGGACTTTAAAATACATAAAGCCCAAGGTATGTTGAGTATTCTTAGTGATGACAAGATCCAAAGACACTATGACAATAGTCTTCTAACATTTTCAGATTCTTTGCCACTAGGACTGACTAGCTTGACAATATCTATTAATAACAAATGAGACCTAGAGAAATTCAGATGGAATCCCACTCATTCAAAATGCATTTATGAAGCCCTTAGGTTATTAGTAGACTTAAAGAACTACTTGTCCAATCACACATAAGCAGTAGGTTATATCTTTTTTTCTGTGTATGTTTGAGGGTGTAGAGAAACCATGTGGCTTTCCTACAACTTTGATAATCTTTTCCCCTTGGAAAAGATAACTCCACCACTTGCAGGTATATTTAGCTTCTCCCTTGAGCACTCCTCTCTTTAAAATCTGTCCCTTGGCTTTTGTATATCCTCCTTCAAGCACTTCATTTTCCTTCCTCTGCCCTTCCAATTAACCTTATCCTTAAATTCTAAACTACCTAGAAAAAATGACTCCGATTTCTATGAAATGTATTCAAGATCGTACGAGGCATTCAAACACTAATCCCATTCATTTAGTGTTAACGTTACGGTTTCTCTATCCCTACCTCTTCCCTTTCACTTTAGTCCTTCGGTTCCAATATCCATTTTGTCTCCTCCCCCTTCAGCTCTCACCAGGTCATCACTGCCCCCGTTTTTTCTCAGGCTCTCTAAAATTAATCGCTAACACACAAGTTTTCCCAAATAAAATCCCACCTCCCGATTCTGTTCAGTCATCACTACCCTTTGGATCCCTCGGATTTTGCTTTGGTCCCTCACTCTCCCCAACCTCGGACGCCAATCCTATTCCCTCCCATCGCTGCCCCTCACGGTTTAGGGAACACTCCGCACAATTTCGTACGATTCCCCCAAACTTGGCTTCCCCTAAAACTTCCCCAATTCCCAGCGCCCCATTCTCAGACCTTACGAGGTCCCTGTCCTTCTTCAGAGCTCTCCCCCTCTTTCTCCGGAGTTTTCGGACACTCCCACCATCCGGAGTCCTAGCCCACCGCTCGGCACCCCGCGACCTCCCAGGCCCACAGCGCCCCTTAGGGTGCGGCCCTCCGACCTGCCTCTGCGCCTCCCGCAGCCCCTGCAGCCGGTGGCTCAGCTCGCGCCGGTAGCTCTGCGCCGCCTCCACGTTCTCACGGGCCTCCTGCAGCAGCAGCTCCGGCTCCAGTTCCATGGTCCCTCTCATCAGGCCGCGCCGCAGGCGGCTGCGGGAGCGGGTTCCCGAGTGTGCCCCGCGCCGGCTGGAGGCCCGGGGCGGCCTCGCTCTGGCGGAAGCGCCACCACGCCCCGCCCTGCCATTCCAGTCCACGCCCCAAGTCGACTTTGATTGACAGCCATACGGCGGCGCCCCCGGCGTAGGGCCTGCGGGTCCCAGTGTCTCCCACTTTGTGACTTTGCTGGCCTCGGCCCTGCGCCCGCGCCACGTTATTGCTCAGTGTTTCCTCAGGAAATGTTTGGAGGCACGGCAAGACTAATAAGAGCGTTGTGCGGTGCTTTCCACATCTTATCTCTTTCTTATATCACTTACAGCCTTTATCTCCAATGCACAGAGGAGGAAGCCGAGGGACAGAAAAGGGAATTATCTTTCCCAAGCTCAGCAGTTGAGACCAGAGCAGACGCCGCCGGAGCCTTGGCCCTTAAGTCGTCGCTGTTTTACGGGCCTGGTAAAATGAGACTCCTAGCCACGACCAGCGTTCTTGGAGGTTACTGCAACCCAGACACCACCGCCTAGGAGCTCATCATCTAAGAAGGGAACCAAGAGAGGCCTAAAGGATAACCAGCAATACAGCAATCCCGGCGCAAGTCTAAGAAGGGTGTTGGCAGTATTTTTCTGTAAGGGTCAAGTAATAAATATTTTGGGCTTGTCTGTTCATGACGTATCTGTTGCAGCGGAGTGAGTAAATGGGTGTGATCAAGTGCAATAAAAACTTATGGGCCCAGCGCAGTGGGGTGGCCTGTGCCTGTAGCTCTAGTTACTGGGACAATAAGGCAGAAGTATCGCTTGAGTCCAGGAGTTCAAAGCCAGCCTGGAAAACACAATGAGACCCAGTCTCTAGAGAAAAAAAAAAAAAAAGACACTTAAGGACACTGAAATTTGAATATTACATAATTTTCACAAATCACAAAATAATTTTTGCATGCTCCCCCAACTATTTAAAAAGGTAAAAAATGATTATTTGAAAAGCTATACAAAAACAGGCAACAGGTTGAATGTAGTCCTAGCGCCCATAGTGTGGGGGCTGCTAATCCAGAATGTCAGAGCTGAAAATTGCCTCATCCAGGACTCCCCCTGAGATAATTACTCTTTTTTGGTACCAGGGATGGGACCAAGGGGCGCTTAACTACTAAGCAACATCCTCAGCCCTTTTATTGTTTATTTAAATTTTTGATTTTTTAATTTTGCTGAGGCTGGCTTTGAATTTGCGATCCTCCTGCCTGGGATTACACCCATTTCAGACTACTTTATTTTTTTAATTTTTTAATATTTATATTTTAGTTTTCAGCGGACACAACATCTTTGTTTTGTATGTGGTGCTGAGGATTGAACCCGCACGCATGCCAGGCGAGCGCGCTACCGCTTGAGCCACATCCCCAGCCCTCAGACTACTTTCTTAAATTTTTGTGCCTCTCCTTTCTGTAGTATAAATTACGAACCCACCAGGGTTGCGTTGAGGTCCCCCTTTCCCTTCTGGGAATTTCTTCAGACCCCATGCTGGTGACAATATTATGGTATTTAAAAAGCTGGGCGCCATGGTGCATGTCTGTAGTCACAGAGACTCAGGACTCAGGAGTTCAAAGCCAGCCTCCGCAATTTGGTGAGGTCCTAAGCAACTTAAGGAGACCATGTCTCAAGATAAAAAAAAATAAATAAATAAATAAGAAGGGTTGGGGATTGACTCAGTGGTTAAACTCACTTGGGTTCAATCTCAGGTACCAAAACAAACAAAACACTTGTAATGATTGATGGAAGTAGCTGCCTCTAGGACATAGGTCTGACATATGAATCAGAAATCAGTTATTTTGTACAGTGGATTTTTGTTGTTGTTGTTGTTGTTTTTGGTGCCGGGGATTGCCGGCATTATTAACTTTTATATTTATTCAAGTAATGCCTGTTCTTGGTTAAAAATGTCAAAGAATATAACAAAACTTACTGTAGCCGGGTGCAATGGCGCTTGCCTGTAAATCTCAGTGGCTCAGGAGGCGGAGGTAGGAGGATCGTGAGTTCAAAACCAGCCTCAGCAATTTACCGAGGCGCTAGGGAACTCGGTGAGACCCTATCTCTACATAAAATACAAAATAGGGCTGGGGATGTGACCCAGTGGCCGAGTGCCCCTGAGTTCAATCACCGGCATACCCCCACACACACACATACACCAAAAAAAAAAAAAAAAAAAAAAAAAAATTGAGTTAATAATAACAATTTGTAAAAGTAGGAGCTTCTTTGAGGTCCTACCTTGGAGCTCTCTCAATGAAACTGCACGTCAAGAGGGAAGAATAAAAGAAAAGGTTAATTGGGCTGGGGTTGTAGCTCTGTGGTACTGCCGTCTGCCTAGCATGTGCTAAGCCTTGGGTTTGATCCTCAGCACCACATAAAAATAAATAAATAAAGATTAAAAAAAGGTTAATTAATAGTTAAAAACAGTTTACATAACCCGGTTCTTAAGTACCATGCTGTTGAAACTATGCACCTAAATAAAACTGTTTATTTGTGTAATTGCAATTTTAGGTAAAAAAAAAAATAAAAGTTTAAAGAATCCATGAAAATATTGCAGTTGCTGCATGAGATTACCCTCACAAGAAACCAGCGAACTATTGATATCCTACAGAAACTGAAAACATGCCAGATGAGGCAATAATTTTGTGTTTGTTTGCTGCTCCCAACAATGAAATCCATGAGAAAATGCCTCTAGAGTCCAGTTAGAGGTATAAAAATTTAGGACCCCCAAATGGACGAGTCTCCAGGTAGGACGCTACCAAGATATTAGCATTTTAGTCTATAATCAATTTACATTTAGGAATGCAATCAATTATTCAATTTTTCGTATTTTTCCCATTTTCACTTTTTAAAAAAGGGCTAGCTTAAAGTCTAAATTTTCATTCTGCCATTAACTGACTAGGTGACCTTAGTCAAATCATTAGTTTTTAATGGTGACACTGTGTTATACAACAGAAAACGTCTGAGTGTCCAAAACCTTGGCTGATTTTAAATTAAACAAAGCAATTGGCTCCGTCTTTTGCAGGTTTGTCAAGAGACGTATTTTGGCCCTCCTGACTCACCATCCGCGTAGGCTTCCAAAGCAGCCGTAAACTCCGCCCCCTACGCTCAGGACGGCGCGAAAACCCAATTGACAAGAACTCCCGCCGAAGCCCCGCGGCCCGATCTGTGTTCTGTTGGCTGTAGGCACCCGGGCTCAAGTCCTGGGCGCTCAGCCTGGAACTGCCGCCTCTGAGACGTCCTGCACTGCCGGCCGCGTCCCAGGGCCCTCGCTGCCCGCGCTTTCTCACCGCCTTTTTCCGCGTTTGACTCGACGGAGCTGGGCCCAGTCTCCGCGCCCGTTTTGGGCGGGTGGGCGCGGTGGGCCCCTGAGACTGACTCGGCGGCCCAGCAATTCGCTCCTACCGGAGCCGGCCAGCTCCATGGCCTCCAGGCAGGCTGAGCCGGACCGCGCAAGGTCCTAGGAGCTGGGATTCGGGGAAGCAGGGAGCATGGTGGGGGTCCTGGCCATGGCGGCTGCAGCTGCTCCCCCTCCAGTGAAGGACTACGAGATTGAGGTGAGGTCAAGTTTCTGTCAAATTCTTTCCTTCATCTGTTGGGGATTGTAGGGTGGGGGTGGGAGGAGGGTGATCCTTGGTTTGCATACGGAATGGCAAAGGAGGGCCATGGTAAGGACCCACAGTTAGAACTTTGTGTGGGACAGTTGCCAACGTAGTGTCGTTTCTTAGAGTCGTAGTAAATACTGACAAACATTGGGATTGTGAGATATTTGTGGGGTCACTGCAATTCAGGATTTAAGAAGACATAGCCCATTCCCAGATCCTGAATTGTGGGTGGAACTTGAAGTTTTAGACTTGTGACTTGTCACACGGCAGGATCCTAGGGTCAGATTCTCAGTCGTGATCTGGAATTATAGGACTTAAGCTTTGAAAAAAAAAAAAAATCAGGTAGTCAATACATCCACCTCATTTCGTAATTTCCATTTAGAATGTGACTCCTGGAATCAAATAAGGTACTTAATTTAAAAAAAATCAATTTCTTAAGGCTCCAGAGCCTTAGGAGTCCTAGCCCAGCATGCTGATGTTCTCCTGGATTCATCAAGTTTCAGTGAAATATACTCTGTAATCATAATGTTATTCTGCGCTGGAAGTAGAGGGTTAGCATTTTCAGGTATATAGTTGCTATATTTACACCTTTTCATCTCATACTGGCATTCTAATTCATGTATCTTGTTGTCCTTGAAGTTAACTAAGACTCAACTCTGTTAAGTCCTAGCTCCAAGTTCCCTTAACTCTGACTCATTCAAGTAATGTCTAATTCATAGTAAGTATGATGCTCGTATTTGCTAATTCAAGTGAATTACTCAGTTTGTCTCAGGTGTGAAGGACTTCTGGCACTGAATTACACAATTCTTGATTTTGTATGTTCAGTTTTATCACTACGTTGCTTAACAGTTTGTGATTTTGGTACCCTGATTAGAAAGAGCCTATTTCATAATAATGATACTTTGTGTTTAATTGTAAGATCTTTTATCCTATTTTGCTTAATATCAAACTATGATGAGGTATTATTATCTCTATTCTACAAATGAAGGAAGGTTAAGAAGTAATTAAAAGTAGGTTAGAGTAAGTTCTGAAATTTTTTTCTGTGTGTGTGGGATTGAATCCATGGCCTCACCCATACTGCCTAAGTGCTATACCACTGAGCTACATCCCAAGTCCTTTTTATTTTTTATTTTGAGACAAGGTCTCCATAAATTGTCTAGGCTGGCATCAAATTTGTGATCCTCCTGTTTTAGCCTCCCAAGTAGCTGGGATTTATAGGAGTGTGCCACCAAACCCAGCTCCATCTTACATTTTAAAAATAAACAAAAAGTTGTAAGTGATTTGCTTAAGGTTCCATTCCAGTTGATGTTGGGGTCAGCACTTGAACTTAGATCTTCCAGACTCAAGAGCCTATTCTATAGAGCCTCTGATACCATCTGAAAGTTACATAAATAATAATACCATTTTTTGAATACATTTACAATTTCATTTTAACATGTATAATTTAATCTGTCTTTAATTAATTTTGCCTCATATTTATCCAAATGTTGAGAAATTTGTCCCAACATGTTTCATTAACTGTTACTTTTTCCACTAATTTGAATGCTATTGTTACCACATACAAGTTCTTAAATGTGAACTTAAGTCCTTAAGTCTATTGCTGGTTTTCTTTCTTTCTTTTTTTTTGGTACCAGGGATTGAACCCAGCGGCGCTTTACCACTAAGCCAAATCTCCAGCCCTTTTTAGTTTTTGAGATAGGGTCTGGCTAAGTTGCTTAGGACCTCACTAAGTTGATGAGGCTGATTTTGAATTTGCTATCCTCCTGCCTTAGCCTCCTTAGTCCCTGGGATTATAGGGGTAAACCACCACGCCTGGCTGTATCTGGTTTTCTAATCTATTACATCACACTGCTTGCCTACTAATGCATGAGAAGTATGCTTTTAATCCTGAAGGCTTTATAATACAATTTAATTTTCTAGACATGCAAATCCCCCATTTATTACTTAGCTTTGAAAATTATTCTTGTTATTCTGGCAAATTTATTCTCACAAAATTAAGACAGATACATGGATAGAACATAGCTCAGTGATAAAGTGTTAAGTATTTGCTTAGCAATTTTAATGCTGGGGGTTCAATCCTCATCATTGTAAAAACAATATGTAACTTTTGGTAACCAATAAAATGATATGTTTCCTATTATAGAAGTTACTGATTTATTTATCTACTTATTTTCACCATTTTATTTGTGCATATATACTTGTTTAAAATCAGTGAATTTCTAGGGCCAGGTTCAAATAATTAATGGGCTTTTGAAGTAGCTTATCTACACCATCTATTTATTTATTTATTTATTTTGGTAACTCATGTTCCTCCTGCCTCAGCCTCCCAAGCCATTGGAAGTTTGTCTAGTCCTAAGGTATGCTGCAAACTTAGTCTGGAGTAAAGTGAGAAATGACATCTTTTCAAAGATACCATTTAGAAATTCTAACCTAAGCTGCATATGGTGTCACATGTTTATATTCCTAGAGACTTGTAAGACTGAGGCAGGATGATTGCAAGTTTCAGACCAGCCTCAACAATTTAGTGAGGCCCTAAGCAATTTAGTGAGATCCTGTCTCAAAATAAAAAATAAAAGGCTAGAGATGTGGCTCAGTGGTCAAGATGCACTGAAAGCCTGCTATTAGGCAATAGAGAGCAGTATCAAGTCCCAATATATGTGATCCTCCACCTGCTGCCCCTAGGTATGGGGATTGAATCCAGGCTCAGACAGGCAGGCAAGCTCTCTACACTGAACTATATTCCCAGCCCCTTGCTTTTTATTTTTATTTTTTATTTTTTCAGTCCTGGGGATTAAATTCAGGGGCATTCTACCACTGAGCTACCTCCCTACCCTCTTGTTTCTTTTTGGTACTGGGGATTAAACTCAGGGGCACTTGACTACTGAGCCACATCCCCAGCCCTAATTTGTATTTTATTTAGAGATAGAGCCTCACTGAATTGCTTAGCTCCTCATATTTGCTGAGGCTGGCTTTTTTTTTTTTAATATTTATTTATTTATTTATTTTAAATCTTTGGTGGACACAACATCTTTGTTGGTATGTGGTGCTGAGGATCGAACCCGGGCCCCACGCATGGCAGGCGAGCGCGCTACCACTTGAGCCACATCCCCAGCCCCTGAGGCTGGCTTTAAACTCTCTATCCTTCTGTCTCCTGAGCCGCTGGGATTACAGGTGGGCACCACTATACCCAGCCCTACTCCTTTTTATTTTTTGAGATAATGTCTCACTAAATTGTCAGGCTAACCTCAAACTTGTGATCCTCCTGTCTCAGCTTTTGAAATAGCTAGTATCACAGGCATGTGATACCACATGCCCAACCTTAATTTTCAATATCATAACCAGAAAATTTAATCAACTTCCAGAAGCAGAAAGGATCAATATTTACTGGACCAGATGGGGTCGTACTTGTAATCCCAGCTACTTAGGAGACTGAGGCAAGAGGATAGTAGGTTCAAGGACAGCCTGGATAATTTAAAATTTTTAAAAATAAAAATTTAAAAGGGCTGGGGATGTAGCTCAGTGGCCTAACATGTGTGGGATCCTGGGTTTACACACGAAAAATTAAATTTCCTTGATAGTATCATCTGATTCATGACTTTCATTTTGAGCTTTATGCTTTCCTCACAACAGCTAGTGCCTCTCTGGATCTTCTTCAACCACACCTGGGCTCATTATAACCTTGGCTCACCTTACTTGGGTGCGTCCATTGTTGCTGACCACAAATGACTAATGTATGACTGACAAAAATATGACTATCCTTAGCTTAATCACCTTGATACCATGAGAGTAATAGCTAGTGCAGGAAGTAGGCAGTAACTGTTTTAGTATCAAAACACTGGAATTGGGCTGGGGTTGTAACTCAGTGGTAGAGCACTTGCCACTGGGTTTGATCCTCAGTACCACATAAAAATATTTAAATAAATAAAATAAAGGTATTGTGTCCATCTACAACTTAAAAAATTTAACTTTAAAAAAACCTGGAATTGTGGCAAGTGTTCTTTTGGTGATCTTTCAATGTAATTTCTACTTGATTTAGTAAATTTTGGGATTCTGGGCTTATTTGCTAAGTATCTGCATCTTAGCAGTAGTAAGATAATGTGTTTATTTAATTTTTATTTTTTGCAGTGCTGGGGATTAGACCTAGAGTCTTACATGTACTAAGCAAGTGTTCTACACTAAGCTACATCCCTAGCCCATGTGTTTATTTTTAACTAAAAAAGTAAAAGGGAATGCAATTGATAACTGTGTGGTCCCTACCATGTGTCAAACTTCACATATTTTTATATACCTATTACAAATTCTGTAAGGTGGTTATTGGTAATCAAAGGTTATAAACAGAGACTAAGAAACATTAATAATTTTTTCATAAGTATAGTAGCCTTGGTTTTGTTTCAGTATAAACTTTTTATTGAAGTATGATGTGTTTGTGTGTGTGTGTGTATGCGAGCGCCTGCAAATTGACATGACACTGAGATTTTAATGTATTTTTAACTTTAAAGCAGAGTGGTACATATCTGTAAACCCAGTGGCTTGGAGGCCTAGGCAAGAAGATTGTGAGTTTGAAACCAGACTTAGCAATTTAGTGAGGCCCTAAGTCTCTTAGGGAGAGATCCTATCTCTAATTAAAATATGAAGAGTTGAGAATGTGGCTCAGTGATTGCATGCCCTGGGTTCATTTATTTACCAAAAATAAATAAATAAATGAATAAAGCTTGTTTCTTTCTGATATATCATATTTTGCATCTAAAGGAGCCCCCCCATGCACAATCCAATTTCTCCTTTACTTTTATGGTATTAAGGATTAAACTCAGGGCTATATACCACTGAGCTACCTCTCTAGCCCTTTTTGTGTTGAGACAGGGTCTTGCTAAATTGCCTAGATTGGCCTCTAATTTGTGATCCTCCTTCCTCAGCCTCCTGAGTAGCCAGGATTATAGCCATGTGCCACCACACTCAGTTTTGGTCCAATTTTATTTTATTTTTCCTTTATCTTTTAGTACTTGGAATTGAACCCGGGGTGTTCTACTACTGGATTACACCTCTTTCCCTACTCCCATCCTTTTTTGGGGAGGTGTTGGAGGGGACTAGCAGTTGAACCCAGAGGCACTTTACCACTAAGCTACATTCCTAGCCCATTTTATTTTTTATTTTTGAGGCAGGATCTCACTAAGCTACTTAGGGCCTCACTAAGTTGCTGAGGCTGGTCTTGAACTTGCATTCTTCCTGCCTAAGTCTCTTGAGTTGTTGGGATTACAGGTGTGTGGTCCCTTTTTAAATTTAATTTTATTATTATTGTTTTTTGTGTTACTGGTATTAATTGAGGGTCACTTTACCACTGAGCTACATTTCCATCCTTTTTTATTTTTTACTTTAAGACAATGTCTTGCTCAGTTGCGGAGGCTGCCCTCAAATTTACAATCCCTCTGCCTCAGCCTCTTGAATAGCTGGGATTACAAGCAAATGTCACTGTACCTGGTTTTATTTTGGGGTGGGATCTCACTAAGTTTCTAAGATTGGCCTATAATTTGTGATCCTTCTGTCTCAGCCTCCTTCTATCTCAAGTCTCCTGAGTCTCTGGGATTCCAGGCATGTACCACCATGTCCAGCCTTTGTTTTTGTTTTTGTTTTTAATTGTTAAAGCAGGGTCTTGCAAAATTGTCCAGGCTGGCCTTGAATTTGCAATCCTACTGTTTCATCATCCTGTTTAGCTGGGGTTATAGGCTGGGATTGTAGGCCTGTGCTACCAAACCCATTAATCCAATTTCTTTCTTTCTTTTTCTTTTCTTTTTTTCTTTTTTGGTACTTGGGATTGAACCCAGGGTGCTGCATCACTGAGCTACATCTCCAGTCCTTTTTGTTTTTTATTTTGAGACAGTGTCTTGTTGTGTTGCATAGGGCCTCACTAAGTTGTTGAGCCTGACCTTGACCTTGCAATTCAACTGCCTCAGCTTTCCCATTTGCTGGGGTGACAGGGCATGTACTACCACACCTGGCTTCAGTTTCTTAAAATGTTAGAGACATGTTTAAAAGTTACACTTTGTTTTATTTTGCTTTAAATAAATACTTTTTTCTTGTTTTAAATTGCTAGCCATGCAAGAAGCGACGAAAAGATGATGACCGATCTTCCTGTAAAACAATTACAAAATATTTATCACCGATAGGGAAGACTGGAGACAGAGTTTTCTCTCCACCAAAATCTAGTAATATTATGGATTATTTTAGAAAGACTTCACCCACAAATGAGAAGACACACTCAGTGAAAGAGTGTAAGATAAAGTCATCTGCACCATTGCCTGTTGACAATAACAAAGATTGTAAAAAACCTTTGGACACATTCTCAAATACAGTATTTAAGAAGAAAGTAAAGAGGGTTAATTTATCTCAACAGCTAAATAATATAAAAACTGAGAATGAATCTCCAATTGAAATTAACAGTGATGATAGCAAAGAAGACTGTAGTTTAAATAATGATTTTGTGGAAAATAGTGCTTCTGTTTTACTTTACAATAAACATGTGGAGGTTCTTGTAGAAAGTATTCATGATGTTGAAAGACAGTCAAATGCTATGACTTTCAAGAAAAATTCTAAGAAAGTGAATCCTAAACAAAGGATGACAAAAGGTGATTGTAAAAGGTTAGGAAAAAGGAAATACAGAGATGTAATAGATCTATCTGAAAGTTTACCCTTGGCAGAAGAACTAAATCTGCTTCAAAATAGTGATAAAGACAGCAAAGAGATAGTATCTTCCCTAACTAATGAAATTGAGAGTACTACAAATGAAGCAAACTCTAGTGATCATGTTACTGAAACAGCCCATTTAAATGATTGTACAATAACTGTCTCATATGAAGAATTTTTAAAAAGTCACAAGGAAAATAAAGTGGAACAGATACCAGACTCAACAATGTCAATTTGTTTACCTTCTGAAACTGTTGAGGAAATAGGCACAAGTGGTTATATAAGTGAATCAGAAAACTGTGAGATATCTCAGCTGATGCGCTTTAAGACAGTTACTGTCCTTGCACAAGTTCACCCCATTCCTCCAAAAAGGACAAAGAAAATACCCCCAATTTTCTTGAAACAAAAGAAATTTGAGATGGAAAATAGTCTTTCTGATCCTGAGAATGAACAGACAATTCAGAAAAGAAAATCTAATGTTGTTATACAGGAGGAAGAATTAGAATTGGCTGTGTTGGAAGCTGGAAGTTCTGAAGCTGTGAAACCAAAGTGTACCCTAGAAGAAAGGCAGCAGTTTATGAAAGCATTTAGGCAGCCAGCATCAGATGCAATTAAAAATGGTGTCAAAAAGTCTTCAGATAAGCAGAAAGACCTCAATGAAAAATATTTAAATGAAGAAGGACGAGATAATAATTCTAAGAAAATCATGGAAAATCTTAATATTCAAATGGTTTCAAATGGTAGTTCACAGTCACACGCTGATAGAAGAAGTTTTCCTACGGAGAAAAGTAAAATGCTAAAGAAAAAGAATAAGGAAACATTAGATACTGGGGCTACTACAGGTGAAAACCAAAAAGAAAATAATCAAAAGAAAGAAACAATTCTTTCCTTAAGAAGTAAACAAAATCAGAATAGACTTAGAATGAGTTTGAGACACAAGAAATCAGAAATTTTCAAAAGCACTACATTACTTAACAGTGAAAATCTTGTTTGTGAAGGTATAGCAAATGATGACCCTCTAATGATTTCTTCTCTGTGTGACAAGAATAAATCATCAAGGAAAACCAGCACATCAATTAAAGAAAAGATTATATATCCTAAAGCTGAACCTGAAGACAGATTGGTAAATGTTTCCACACCTAAATCATCCAGACGATCTATAAGAAATAGCAGCACACCTACTACCATTAGAGGTCCTGATTATGAAGATGTACAAGACAATAGTCCAGTAAAGTTTTCTACTCCCAAAACAGCCAGTGTATCAGAAAAGCATAGCCTATACACAGCAGAATTACTAACAGTACCCTCTGATTCAGAGAGCCCTATTAGGTAAAGTTTTGTTTTTATTCCAACGTTCTAATATTCTGCATGCATTATTTGGGAATGAAAATACTACATATGTTGGAGGGCATTCTTTTTTCTTTCTTTTTTCCTTTGACCTGTCATCCCCTAGGGAGATATGGACAGATATATATATATTTCTTTTTAGTTATACATGACAGTAGAATGTATTTTGATATATTATGCATGTATGGAGTATAACTTCCCTTTTTGTGGTTGTACATGACTGTGGAGTTACACTGATTGTGTATTCATATATGAACATAGAAAATTTATATTTAATTCATTTTACTCTCTTTCCCATTCCCATTCCCTCTCCTTTCCTGTATTAGGGCATTATTTTTTCTAGAACACAAGCTGATTTGTAAGAAGGCGAAAAGGATTTCAAAATGCTTTTTGTTTCTCACATGTAATTTATAATCAGTCATAATTTCAGAAAAGTTCTAGATGTATTTTAGATGAGTTTTAAACTCTTAATTGTCATAGTTGATAATCCCTGAAAAACTATGCTTCAAATATGTCTTCTGTTCATTTAGCAAATGAGATTAAAAATAAATCATGGAGTATTAACTTGTTGAATAAACGGACACATTTGTGAAGAAGTATATACTTGCATGCTGCTTCTGGATAAATTTAAGAATGATCCTAGAGGATAATTTTTTTTTTTTTTTTTTTTTTTGGTACCCAAGAGTGCTTTACCACTGAGCTACAGTCTCAGCCCTTTTTATTTTGAGACAGGATCTCAATAAGTTGCTTAGGGCCTTGCTAAGTTGTTGAGGCTGGCTTTGAACTTGTGATCCTCCTGCCTTAGCCTCCTAAGCCATTAGAAATAAGGGAGAGCACCACCATACCTGGCCTAAGGCTTATTATTTCTAAAGGAATTAACAAATAGTAAACTTTGGCTTCCCCCCAAAAAAATTATGATTATGATTTTTATTATGATTATGATTGTTAGGTACCTGGGATTGAATCCAGGGCTGCTTTACCACTGAGCTATATCCTCAACCCTTTTTATTTTTTTGAGACATGGTCTTCCTAAGTTGCTTAGGTCCTCGCTAAGTTACTGAGACTCATCTTGAACTTGCAATCCTCCTGTCTCAGCCTCCCCTGTTACTGGATTACATGTGTGTGTCACCATACCCAGCAAGTTTGACTACTTTTGAATCAAATTGTTAAGAATTGTTTTTTTTTTCCTTCTGTCTTATTATAATTAAGTCGAGAAATTGGAGTGTTACTTGGTTTATTCCTATATTTAACTAAGAATTTTACACGTTATAGTCATGAAAATGTTTCTAAATACTTCATCTTTTTTTCAGAATGAAATTTACCAGAATTAGTACTCCCAAAAAAACTAAGAAAAAATATAATAAAAAGTCTAAGAAATCAGAGGCAACTGGTGGAGATTTTACTTCTCAAAATAGAAAGGTAATTAAAATATTGGAGTCCTATAAATGATAACTATTTCCTTTTTATGTTCTATGTATTATTTATTTATTTATAATTTTGTGATACTGGGGTTTGATTCCATGGGTCGGGGCTCTGCCACTGTGCTATCTATCCCCAATCCTTTTAATTTTATTTTGAGATAGATTGTTCAGGCTGGCCTTGAATTTGCATCAGCCTCCTGAGTTGCTGGGTTTACAGCTGTGCACCACCACACTTGGCTCTTATTTTCTTTAAAAAAAAAAAAGCAAAAAACCCATGGTACTAAGTACTGTGGAGGTAATAAGCCAAAAGATTCATATTTCGTACATTGGTTAATTATGACCTTGTATTATTTTTCACTATTATCCCATTCCTCTAGATAATGCTTTAAGATATTAAAAACTCTTATTGTGAGATGAAAGCAGTTGAGAAAGAAAGTATAATTTCCTTAGAAAATACTTTCTTATTGACTTACATTCCAATTATTTTCCTTGTGGTTGCATATCTTCGTTTGTGCTGTTGCCACAAAATTACATATACTTTGGGGCTTAACCAACAGAAATTTATTTCTCACGGTTCTGGGAACTGGGATGTCCAAGATCAAGGTCCCAGCAGAGACCTAGTACCTTATGTGTAACGCGCTGCCATCTTCCTCAAATGGCAGAGAGCAAGCCAAGAGAGGGCTTTATCCTTATAACCAAATTACCTCTCAAAGGCCCTACCTCCTAATATTATCACACTGAAGGTTAGGATTTCTACATAGGATGCATTAAATCATACCTATAGGTCATAACTGTATTTCTATTTTATATCTATAATTTAGATTTTTTTTTTTTTTTTAGAGAGAGAGAATTTTAATATTTATTTTTTAGTTTTTGGCGGACACAACATCTTTGTATGTGGTACTGAGGATCGAACCCGGGCCGCATGCATGCCAGGCGAGAGCGCTACCGCTTGAGCCACATCCCCAGCCCTAATTTAGATTTTTTGAAACATGGTTCCTCAACCTAGATATTTGGGCTGGATAATTTTGTTGTGGAGAGCTATGCTATGCATTTATTATAGGATATTTAGCAGCAACCCTGGTCTCTACCTCTAAGAAACCAGTTGCACTCCTACTCCTCTAGTGATGATAACCAAAAATGTCCACAAATATTGCTAAATATCAGTTGCAGAGAGGAGAAAAATCACCTCCCTTGAAAAACAATTCCTCTAAAGAAATAGGTAGGAAATATATACACACACACAAACAGTTTAGTTGCTTCTGCAGAATAAAGCTGCTTGTCTGTCCCCACTATGAGAGAATTGGATTGTATACCTATTATACTAATAGTTTTTTTTTTTTTCCTTAAACTTTATTCTTCTGTGCTTAGATTTTGTGTGTGTGTGTGTGTGTGTGTGTGTGTGTGTGTGTGTGGTGCTGGAGTTTCCTCATTTCATGAACTAACAAGTTTCTTCATCTATACTATAAGGTTAAATAATATTTACTTTTGGGGCTGGGGATGTGGCTCAAGCGGTAGCGCGCTCGCCTGGCATGCGTGCGGCCCGGGTTCGATCCTCAGTACCACATACAAACAGAGATGTTGTGTCCGCCGAAAACTAAAAAATAAATATTAATAAATAAATAAATAAAAAAGAAGCAGCAGAGGACAAAAAATATTTTAAAAAAATAATATTTACTTTATGAGATTAATAATGTGTGTACTAAGCACAATGCCTACAATGTGATAAGAAATCAAAAATGACAGTTGTTAAATAAAACCAAGAGATAGCAAGCTTTTGTAGCAGTTTTTAAAAGATTCTTCTTCTTTATATTGTGTACTTATAGATGGACAAAACGTCTTTATTTATTATTATGTGGTGCTAAGGATTAAACCCAGAGCCTCACATGTGCTAAGGCAACCACTGTGCCACTGAGCTGTAGCCTCAGCTCCTAGCAGTAGTAGTTTTGACTCAAGGATTGTATCAGAATCACTTGGTGGCTTTTCTGGAACATGCACACATCGATTCACTCTGAAGACAATCCAATTCTCCCATAGTGGGGACAAGCAGCTTTTTTGCAGAAGCAACTATACTGTTCATATGTGGGGTGTGTGTGTGTGTGTGTGTGCGCACGCACGCACGTGTGCACACACACGCACACACACACATCTATATATATCTCCTACCTATTTCTTTAGAGGAATTATTTTTCAAGGGAAGTGACTTTTTTCCTCCCTGCGATTGATATTTAGCAATGTCTGTGAACATTTTTGGTTGGCATCACTAGAGGAGTGGGAGTGCAACTGGTTTCTTAGAGAGAGAGACCAGGATTGCTGCTAAACATTCTATAATAAATGCATAGCACAGCTCTCCACAACAAAATTATCAGCCCAATGATGGTATAATAACTGTAAGTAGTTAGATGATCCTTACCCTGTTGGAAAGCACTCTAGATGCCAGCTGATTATACCACAGCTAACGGTTAAAAGTCTGAAGTCAACTTTATTGCATACATCATGTTCTTTTTTATTTAATTCTAAAGGACAACTTCCAACTTTAATTTTGGAAGTACTGTGCGTTGGTTTGTCCTATGTATTTCTTAGAATTGGGATTCAGTAAATCCAGCAAGACAAATCTTGTGAATGTGTCCAAATTGGGTCTGGATCAATTATTTTATTTCATAGTCTGTCAATGAACCTCTTAACAGAGGACTGTGATTTTTCTCAGAAGCCTTATCACTGTGTCCTAGCTTTAGGAGAAAAATCTTAATAATTTTCTGGGAGAAATGTATCATGTTTCTATGAAAATAAATAGTAAACTGGTTTTCCTAAGAGCACTAAAAGCTTGGTGTTTATCCATTTAGATAATACTAATAGTTAAATTTTCCTTAAACTTTTTTAAAAAAATATCTTTGTTTATTTATTTATTTTTATGTGGTGCTGAGGATCGAACCCAGGGCCTCACACAATCTAGGCGAGTACTCTACCGCTGAGCCACAACCCCAGCCCCTTTCCTTAAACTTTATTCTTCTGTGATTAGATATATTCTGGGGGCGGGGGCTGGAGATTGAATCCAGGACCTTGTGCATGTGAGGCAAGCACTCTACCAAGTGAGCTATATCCCTGGCCCTAGATATATTCTTTTTAAAGGAATCACATAAAGTAAACTCTTTGGCATTTTGCTATATATATATGGTTTGTTTGTTTGTTTTGGGTACTGGGAATTAAACCCAGGGTTGTTTAACCACTGAGCCATATCCCCATCTCTTTTTATTTTTTGAGACAGGAGCTCACTGAGTTGCTTAGGGCCTCGCTAAATTGTGGGGTTGGCTTTGAACTCAATATCATCTTGTCTCAGCCTCCTGAGCCGCTGGGATAATAGGCATGCACCATCCACTCCTGTCCCCCACCCACTTTTTATTTTTATTTTGAAACAGGGTCTGGCTAAATGATTAAGACCTTGCTAAATTGCTGAAGTTAGTCTTGAACTTGCAGTCCTCCTGCCTCAATCCTTCAAGTTGCTGGGATTACAGGTGTGCATCACTGTGCCTGGCTTGTATATGTTTTTAATCCCAATGAAAAGATTCAAGGAATTCGGAATGGAGAAGCACATTCTCTGGAAGATAATATTTGAATGTACAAGGTCACATTATACATCAATGGCAGAGCCAAGATTGAAAGACAGATGTTATTCTTGGCTAGTACCATTTTACATATCATAATACCTTTTCAGCCTCACTCCAAAGGATCCAGCCTAAAATACTCTCTACTCCTAAACTCCTATGGCTTATTTTTTTATGTATCTAGTATGTATCATTCTCCCAGTCTGTCTTTCTGTGTTTCTTGTTTTCTGTGTATATATAAGATATATACATACACACAATAGCATATACTATGTTATTGCCAGTATGTTTTTACTTTCTTCCCTGCCATATAAAAGTTTCTAGAGGTCAAGGTTCATGTACTATGTTTTTTTCTTTTATGGTATCCAATTCAGAGCTTTGCATACAGTAGACTGAGTGACTATTTATATTTGGAAACTATTTTACCTGATTTTGGTGACTAAAATAAAGGAATATATTGCCATGAAGATGATGAGAAAATAACCATCAATCCTAATCTATATTACAGACATGCTTCTAGGTGTTTTGCCTACAAGTAAATATTTATCAAGATAATTTCAAATAGGAAAAGTAAACTAATCATAACTACATACATTTCATTTTAAGGTTCCTAGTAAGGTGTGATAACCATTTCTTTCTTGGTTATTTGATTTACAATTATATTTTCCTATTATTATATACTTTTTTCTGTTATTAAATATAAAATATTTGCCATGGCTAAATTAATATATCAAATTTTTGTCTAGGCAAGCAAAACTCAAAAAAATATATCAAAAGCAAAACAATTGATCGAAAAAGCAAAAGCTTTACACATCTGTAGGTCAAAGGCTACTGAAGAAACAGTGATACCTTTAAGGCGTTCCTCTAGACATCAGAGGCTTCCTGAAGGAGAGAAACCACCAAAAACAGAAGTAAGTACTATAAATATCTATAGTATTAATTCTGTCCTATTTTGCTTGGAGTGAGAGAAAGAAACTTTATAAGGTCATAGGTAGCATTATATGATAGCCTTGAAGTGGAAGACAGAATATCCTTTTCAGTTTTGCTTTAGAAGCCTTTGGCTTTCTTTTGCTTACAAAATACAACCTGAATCTTTCTCAAGTCAACTGAAAATCTTCCATACCTGAACCGGCTCTTCCCGTTTTTCAAAACAGTTCTTTACTCCAGTCACACTAAATTATTCATTTCTTCCTCAAGTGGTACAATTTTCACTGATTTCATTGTGTTTTTCTCATCTTGAGATACATATTCCAAGTATTCTTTTCTACCTGAGATTTCTTGCTCAGCCTTAAAGATTATGCTAAAGTGACACTATCTTTTTTTTTTTTAAATAAAGCTTATTGAGATTAATTCACATACCATATAATTCACCATTTAAAGTGCGTAATTCAGTGCCTTATAGTATATTCACAGTTATACATTCATAATAATCAATTTTAGAGCACTTTTATTACCCCTAAAAGACATCCAGTCTCTCTTTGCTGTCAATTCCTAATCCTCCCATTCCCCCGCCCTTGCCAATACTAATCTGCTTTCTATTTTTATGAACTTGCCTATTCAAAACATTTCATGAAAACAGTATCATATAACATGTGGTCCTTTTTGTTCAGATTCTTTCATTAGTATATGTTAGAAAAATTCATCCATGTTGTAGCCTAAGTGTTCCTTTTTATTGCCAAATAATTTCCCCGAGTTTATACTATATTTTATTTACTCATTCACCATTTGGTGGACATTTGGGTTGTTTCTTTCTGGCTATTATAAATAATAGTATGTAAATTCTACCACCTTTCTTTGAAAGCTGTGCTGATGCTTTTGAGACAAATAGCTTCCTTTCCTATATGTATTTTATTTTCATGGGTTTTTTGTTCTTTAGCAGATACTGCCCTCAACACCCTAAGTTAGAGCTAAACTATCTACTCATGTACTAGTTCTCTCTCTCCTAATCCTTTTTGTAACATTTAAAGCAGACAATTGAGTATTATTTGTCTGTGTATTCCCAGAGCCTCCTATATTAACTCACATATAGTAGGTGTTCAATAAATATATGCTGACCACAGGAAAATAACAAACTTCGTATTAATTTCTAGGATGTATAGTTCTAAAAAGGATATGGCTAGAATTTTTATAGCTTGGCCATATTGATCCTTCTTTTTTGGAAAAGTGGCTTCTTTTAAAATGAAGTCCCATGGTCATATTAAAACTACTATTTGCTATCATATAAAGTTGTATGATGTAAACATATACTCCTATCATTCTATCATGTTTTTTCTTTTCAATCAAATAATGTCCAGTAGGAGATACATGGAGCTGCTAATTTGATTGCCAGATCTATGGTTTCTATCACTATAACCTTTTGTATATTTTAATGACATTGGTTGTATGATTTATAATAGCTCCCTTACCTGTGTTTGCTTTCAACGATTTCAGTTGCCTATGATCAATCATGGTCTGAAAATAATAAATAAAAAATTCCAGAAATAAGCAATTAGGGTCTGAGTGGCTTAATGAAATTTTATGCTGTTCCACTCTGTCTGATCTAGGACAGTGCAGATCAGTATATCCATGTTCTACATACCACTTGCCCATTAATCATTTAGTAGTCATTTCAGTTATCAGATCATCTGAAGCAGTATTGTAGTGCTTGTGTTCAAGTACCCTTATTTTATTTAATAATGGCCCCAAAATGCAAGAGTAGGGAGGCTAGCAATTGAATATGTCAAAAAAGAGCCAAGCTTTTTTTTTAAGTGAAAAGGTAAAAATAAGAAGGAATTTTTTTATCTGTAAAATTATGAAAAAGTAAAAAGAAATTCATTCTAGTTTTGCTCTCATATCTCAAGCTACAAAAATAACAGCAACAGTATGTGATAAGTTAAGTACGTATAAAAAAGAAACCTAGTATATGTAGGGTTTGAACTGTCTGAGATTTTAGGCATCCACTGGAATTATTGGAATATATATCCCCTGTAAGGAGAAATACTGTATTTAATTTTTTTTTTCTTATTTTATCTTAGGATGTTATAATAATAGATTCAAGTCCTACTTCTTTAAAGACATCAGAGAAAAATCAGAAGAAACTTCAGTGTTTGAACGATGTGCTAGGACAAAAGCTTGACAAGTCTCCTAAAAATGTACCTGGTAATCAGATTTAATACCATTTATAATGAATAGTAGAACCTTTGGGGAGATCATTCTGACTGTACTCACGATGGAAATTTAGTCTCTTTTGTAAAATGGATAATTTTAATTATATTATTATTTCCTTTTTAATAAGCAAAATTTTGATATAGTGAAGAGTCTTTCAGAGGGAAAATAGTCATATTTTTTTTTTTTCACTTTTTTTTGTTTGTTTGTTTGATACCAGGGATTGAACCCAGGGGCACTCAACCTCTGAGCCACATCCCCAGTTTTTGTGTGTGTGTGTGTGTGTTAAAGACAGGATCTGGCTGAGTTGCTTAGGGCCTCTCTGAGTTGCTGAGGCTAACTTTGAACTCACTATTCTGCCTCAGCTTCCCCAAGCAGCTGGGATTACAAGTGTGCGCCACTGTGCCCAGCTTTGTTCACAATTTTAAGTTTGTCTGTAAGTATATTTTAACTTACTGCATCTCTATTATATTTATTTATTTAAGTTAGTGTTTCCCAAACTTAACTGATCATCAAAATTATCTGGTTAAGGGCTGGGGTTGTAACTCAGGGGAACAGCACTTGCCTAGTATGTGTGAGGAACCTCAGCACCACATAATAAATAAATAAATAAAATGAAGGTACTGTGTCCATCAACAAGTAAAAATATTTTTTAAAAATTATCTGGCTAAATCAAAACTTTTATTAATGCTTTAGATCTTTTCCTATTTATATTGAACAAGAATCTCTAGAGGTAGGTTGTGGGAATCTTTAGTCACAAATAAAAGCTTCCAAGGAGATTCCTATATTGCCATGTTGAAGGAATAGATCATTATATAGAAATTTTATAATTAACCAGGCGTGGTGATACACACCTATAATCCCAGCTACTTGGAAGGTTGACGAAGGAGGATCACATGTTTGAGGCCAGCCTGGGCAATTTAGTGAGACCCTGTCTCAGTAAAAAATAACAAGGGTTTGGGATGCACCTCAGTGGTAGAGCACCCCTCAGTACCAGGGGGAATTTGTTTTTTAATTTTTAGAATTCTAAAAAGATATAATTTTGAAAGTAGCGGAAAATAAGTGGAGATTGTAAGCATTGATACTAACTGAAGTTATTATTTTTTTTTTTTTTTAAGGAAAAATGAAAGTTGCCCCTTTATTTATTGCCAGAAAGGTTCCAAAAACAGCTGATCCTGACGTTGGTTTGGAAGAGAGCAGGTAAGTCCAATGTAAGTTTTAAAATACCAAAATATTTTATGGAATACATTTTGTATTTATTCATTTATTTTGGTGAGAAAGCATGTATATTATCATTTGGAGCTTTACTAAGTCCATTTTAAAAGATGACACTAGAGCGGAGTCCGGCAGTAGCACATGTGTGTAATCCTAGCTGCTTGGGAGGCTGAAGCGGGGGATCGTGACTTCAAAACCAGCCTCAGCAATTTAGCAAGACCCTGTCTCAAAATAAAACATAAAAAGTGCTGGGGATGTGACTCAGTGGTAAATTGCCCCTGGGTTCAATCCCTAGTACCCTACCTCCAACCCTGAAAAAGATGACACTCCTGACAGTGCTACCACTGCTATGATCCTGATTATTTACAAATGCTTTGTGGTCATCTCTAGACATAAAATGAGAATAGTAAATAAACAAAACAAAAATATAAAAGAGTGATTATGAACGTTCTGTAAATATTTATATAGCTACTGTGTGCCATGCAGTATTTTTGGCACTAGGTATATTCTGGGGAAGAAGACAGAATCCCCCTGTCCTCATGAGGATTATAGACTAAATAAAAGATTGTTTAGGGCTGGGGATGTGGCTCAAGCGGTAGCGCGCTCGCCTGCCATGCGCGCGGCCAGGGTTCGACCCTCAGCACCACATACAAAGAAAGATGTTGTGTCTGCCGAAAACTAAAAAAAGATAAATATTAAAATTCTCTAAAAAAAAATTAAATAAAAGATTGTTTCTATAATTAAATATTAGGTCAACAAATGAAAAATTGGCATTGTGCTAAAGAGAGGTACAAAATGCTATTAGAGTTTATATTAAGGAAGTTTGGTTTGATCAAGGAAGGCTTTGTACAGGAAATGATACCTGAACTGAAATCTAAAGGAATATCAGGAGTTCATCAGGGGGAGAAACAGTGTTCCAGCCAGAGAGAACAATCTGTGTCAAAGTACTTGTAGCTAGACGGAACATGGGAGTTTCCAAAGATTGAAATAATACCAGTGTGACTTGAACACAGAGAGCAAGGGTGGGAAGAATATGAGATTAAGCTGGAGAGGTGGGTGCTAGCCATTATAGGATCTTGGAGGCAGTCTAAAAGGATTTTGATTATACTAAGAACAAAAAGAAGTAGCCAAAGGGTTTTAAGCATAATACAGATATAAGCAGAATTGGATTTTGGAAGTTTAATGTGCCTGCTGAATTAATCTAACAACTGCATAGAGAATAGAATGAGAATAGAATGAGAGATTCAAGTTGTAATTTGCCAGCTTGGACAAATTAGTGAGACCCTGTCTCAAAATTTAAAAAAATAAAAAGGGCTGGGGTTGTAGCTCAGTGGTAGAGCACTCACCTCTGATGCATGGGACCTTAGGTTTGATCCTCAGTACCACATAAAAATAAACAAATAAAAATAAAGATCTTGTGTCCATATACAACTAAAAAAATATTTTAAAAAAAGTGTTGGGGATGTAGTTTAGTAGTAGAGTACTCTTAGGTTCAATTCCCAATATGCAAGTAAATAAATAAACACGAAAAAAAAAAAACAGAATATCATGATTCCAATATTTCTGTTGACTTTAAAAAATTGATTTAGAGATAATGATATTGAATTATCTGATCTGGGCACATAGTACATCTTTCTTAGTTTGAAATTTCTTTTGACTATGTGCTATAGTTTTCAGTGTAGAAATTTTGTACACATTTTGTTAAATGGATCTCTTAAGTATTTCATTATTTGATGTTATTGTAAATGATACTATTTTTTTATTTTCATCATAATGGTACTATTTTTTAATTTTCATCGTAAATGGTACATTTTTTATTTTCTAGTTGTTTATTTCTCTAATTTTAGATTTTTTGATACTGAGGACTGAACCCAGGGGTACTCTGCTAGTGGGCTACAGCCCTTTTTGTTTTTTATTTTGAGGTAGGGTCTCTCACTAAGTTGCCAAGGTTGGCCTTGAACTTAGGACACTTCTGCCTCAGCCTCCGAAATCCCTGGGATTACAGGTGTGCACCATTGCTCCTGGCTGTTTGTTTCTTTTTTAAATTATTATTAGTTGTTCAAAACATTACAAAGCTCTTGACATATTTCATACATTTGATTCAAGTAGATTATGAACTCCCACTTTTACCCCGTATACAGATTTCAGAATCACATCCGTTACACATCCACATTTTTACATACTGCCATACTAGTGTCTGTTGTATTCTGCTGCCCTTCCTATCGTCTACTATCCCCCCTCCCCTCCCCTACCCTCCCATCTTCTCTCTCTACCCCATCTACTGTAATTCATTTCTCTCTCTTGTTTTTTTTCCCCTTTCCCCTCACTTCCTCTTACATGTAATTTTTTTTAACAATGAGGGTCTCGTTCCATTTCCATGCAATTTCCCTTCTCTCTCCCTTTCCCTCCCACCTCTCGTCCCTGTTTAATGGTAATCTTCTTCTCATGCTCTTCCTCCCTGCTCTGTTCTTAGTTGCCCTCCTTATATCAAAGAAGACATTTGGCATTTGTTTTTTAGGGATTGGCTAGCTTCACTTAGCATAATCTGCTCTAATGCCATCCATTTCCCTGCAAATGCCATGATTTTGTCATTTTTTAGTGCTGAGTAATACTCCATTGTGTATAAATGCCACATTTTTTTTATCCATTCATCTATTGAAGGGCATCTAGGTTGGTTCCACAGTCTAGCTATTGTGAACTGTTTATTTCTTTATAGATAATTAATTCATCTTTATCCTGTATATCCTATAATCTGTCAATTCACTTAATTTCTTCTTTTTTTTCTTTTTGATACCAGGGATTAAACCCAGGGGCATTTAACCACTGAGCTACATCCCCAGCCCTTTTTGTATTTTATTTAGAGATAGGGTCTTGCTGAGTTACTTAGGGCCTTGCTAAATTGCTGAGGCTGGCTTTGAATTTGTGATTCTCCTGCTTCAGCGTCCCCAGCCATTGGGATTACAGGTGTGCATCACTGCGCTGGCTCAATTTCTTCTTCTTCTGTTTTTTTTTAACCCAGCCCCAGTTTATTAGAAAAGGTGTGAACAAGGCTATATCAACAGGAGTGGCCCTTCCCAGCCCTTTATTCACTCTACCTGTACCCTGGTTGTTGTGCCTCCTAGGACACAGCTTCAAGTGGCCTGGGCAGCAGGGTCTCTAAAACCTACTCTACTCAATTAATTTAATTTCTTAATTTTTAAAGATTCTGGTTTTTGTTTTTTAAGTTCTGGGGATAGAACCCAGGGCCTCACACATGCTAGGCAAATGCCCTACCCCTGAACTATACCTCTAGCCCTTTAAAAAAATTTTTTTTTGTGTGTGTGTATGTGATAAGGTCTCAATTATCTAGGCTGATCTGGAACTTGTGATCCTCTTGTCTTGCCTTTCAGGTAACTAGGATTATAGGCATGTGCTACCACATTTGGCCTTTAATGTATATTTTGAAATGGTGGAGTTTTTTGTTTTGTGACTGAGGATTGAACCCAGGGGTGCTTAACCACTGAGCCATATCCCCAGTCCCCTTTTTTTTTTTAATATTTATTTTTTTGTAGTTGTACACAATAACTTTTTATTTTTATGTTTTTATGTGGTGCTGAGGATCGAACCCAGGGCCTTGCACAAGCAAGGCAAGCGCTCTACCTCTGAGCCATAACCTCAGCCCCTACCCAGCCCTTTTGACTTTTAATTTTTAAATAGCATCTCGATAAATTGCTTGGGACCTCGATAAGTTGCTGAGGTTGGCCTCAAACTTAGATCCTCTTGCCCAGCCTTCCAAGTTTCTGGAATTAGAAGTGTATACCACTGAGCCAAGTCAGGACTTTTTAATTTAATGAGAGGTTTGATCTTGTTTAAAAGTCACAGAGGAGGATTAAGGAGAAGCTGAGCATATAGGAGAAATCTTTAGGGTTTGTTGGGACAATTACATGGAATCAGTTTCAAGTTATTTTAGAGGAATAAGCCTTGTGTTATAGAGAGCAACTTTCCTATTTTAAGAGGAGAGAGACAGGGCTGGGACTATGGCTATAGCTTAGTGGTAGTGTTTGCGTATCATGTGTGAGACACTGGGTTGGTCCTTGGCACCACATAAAATAAAATAAAGGTTATTGTGTCCACTTACAACTAAAAACAAAAAAATGACAGAGAGAGGATAGATTTGCTGAATTTCCTGATTATGTGTTTTTTACATAGGAAGATGAAGAAATACCCATTATATGTTGTTTCCTCTCTAGTGTAAGATGAGATTGCTTGTTGAAGGTGAGGTGTAGGACTAGGCAGGGACTGAGTTCAAAGAGAATGAAGATTTGAAATAGTCTTTGTAGAGTAGGAGAGCAAGTGGAACAGAAAAATGTTATTGGGGGCCCTTTGAGCTGATATTGTGAATTCAATTTATGAGCCTAATTTTGTGACTATGGCTGCTCCACAAAAAGTAAGCTATTGCATTGAGTAGATTGTTGAGTGGTATTTAATGATGAAACATGGAATCCAAACTGGTTAAGGAGGGAAATTAATAAAGGAAAATGTCGATGGATGGGGGGAAATAGAGATGTTAATGAATTAGCAGCTACCAGGAGGTTGAAGAGCTTATGGTTGAAAAACTATAGATCAGCTCTAGCAGTCTGTTTTGCTTTTGTAATATCTTGATTGATTCTGTGCTTTTTAAAATAAAAAAAATTGGGGTGTGGAGCATGGTGGTATAGGCCTGTAATCCCAGCTATTCTCCTATAATCCCAGCTACTTGGAAAGCTGAGGCAGGAGGATGCAAGTTCAAGGTCAGCCTCAGAAATTTAACAAGACTCTACCTGAAAACAAAAAGGGCTGTGTTGAGTAGGTCTGCAGTATAGTGTATGCCTAGTATGTTCAAGGCCCTGAGTTCAATCCCCAATACCCTCTTCCCACAAAAAAAAATTTTTGCTGAAGGACAGTCTGAAATGAGGAAAATAATTGCTTGAGTATACTGTTATTTTATCTGCATTTGCTTTACCTAGCGGAATTGTTTTCAGGAATCAGTTTTCTTATTTTGAACTATTTACTTTGATTTCTTAGAGTTATTCTTATGTTCATCAATCTGAGTACCATGAAAAAAATTTTTAAAATAATTTGTGTTGAAAAAAAACTTATGTTTAGGGGGTTGGGATTATGGCTCAGCAGTAGAGCGTTCGCCTTGCACGTGAAAGGCCCTGGGTTCGATCCTCAACACCACATAAAAATAAATAAATAAATAAAATAAAGTTATTGTGTACAACTACAAAAAAAATTTAAAAAACCTTATGTTTGGGAAAAGCTGCCAGAATACTACAAAGATTCCCATAGCCCCCTCACCAAGATTTCCTATATCCTTGGCTGTTTTTATTAAGGAATGAAGATTTTACATGATATATGATGACCTTTACCCTGGTTTCATGTGATTTCCTCATGATTAGACTCAGCTTATACACTTGTCAGGATTACACAGACTAGTGCTCTGATCTTTTCAGCGCATCACAAAAAGAGGCACGTAAGGGGCTGGGGCTGTAGCTTAGTAGTAAAGCGGTTGCCTCATAGGTGTGATGCCCTGGGTTTTATCCTCAGCACCAGATATAAATAAACAAACAAACAAATAGATTGTGTTCATCTACAAATAATTTTATATATATATATATATATATATATATATATATATATATATTTTTTTTTTTTTTTTTTTTTAAAAAAAAGGAGGCATGTGACATTCACCTGTCCCACTGATGGAATGTTAACCTTGATCAGTTGGGTATGTTTGTGTCTGCCAGACTTTTTCATCTTAAATTCCCCCCTTTCCTTTTGGATTACTTAATATTTTATGGACAAGCTTTATTTGTTTATTTTGTGGTACTGAGGATTGAACCTGGGGTTACTTTCTGACTACATCCCCAGCCTTTTTTATGTTTTATTTTGGGACAGGGTCTCCCTAAATTGCCCAACCTGGCCTTGAACTTGCAAACCTCCTGGGTTGCTGGGATTACAGGTATATGCCACCATGCCTGGGTATTTTTATTTTTTAACAGTATTCCACATGCAAGGCAAATGCTTTTAACACTGAGCTACATACCCAGCCCTTTTAAAACTTTTTATTTTGAGACAGGGTATTGCTAACTTGTCCAGGCTGGCCTTAAACATTTGATCAACCTTCCTTAGCTTCCTGAGTAGCTAGAACGACAGGTATCATGCCTGGTCAGCAAGTATTCTAAAATAATGCCAATAATTATTTTTCATCATACCTTCAGCTATTAGTCTTAACCAGTTCTGAATTAATCACACTATGATGCCTACAAAATGGTGATTCTGCTTTGCAATCATTCTTTTGCTATGTGGTAGTTTGCTTTTGCATCTTATGTTTGTTTATTTGCTTATCTCATTACTGTTTTATTCAGTGGGCTATATCCTTTACTATTATTTATTTTCCCGCTCAAATTGTTTTTTTGTTTTTTTTTTGAGAGAGAGAGAATTTTAATATTTATTTTTTTAGTTTTCGGCGGACACAACATCTTTATTTGTATGTGGTGCTGAGGATCGAACCCGGGCCTCACGCATGCCAGGCGAGCGTGCTACCGCTTGAGCCACATCCCCAGCCCGCTCAAATTGTTTTTAATTTGGCCAATATGAGCCTCTTGGCTTGATTCCTATATCCCTTTGACATATCCTCATGATTTTTGAGCATATCTTACTTTTTTGAACAGGAAGATGTTCCAGGTTCATCTTTTACTTGCCTTGCTTTGTAGTCAGGTACTTTTCCAAGGAAACCTAGCTGCTTTTCATGGAGCATGGTTTTTAGAGACCAAGATCTGTGTGCTCATTGTGTTCATTGTTCCTGATGTGTCACTGCTTCTAGGCCGTCTCAGTAGATAAAACTTGGACATGCTTTATATATAAATACACATATATCTAGAAGAAGAAAGCGAGCATGCAGAACTCCATCCTGTCTGGGTCCTCTACCCTGACTGTAGGTTACTGCAGGGTAGGCACGCATTACCTTCACATTACCTTCAGCTCTCAGTCCTACAGAAAGGTTTGGAGGAACTAGGTCAATTTCGAGAGTCCTTAAAACTCTAATTTGTGATGTTTTAGCCAAGAAAATAAAAACAAAACATAATGAATTCCTGGGATAAAAAGTATGGCTATAGAGTGTGGAAATTCTTTGGGAGCTTGCCTTGAATGCCTTAGTACAGGGGTGCATTAGCAAACTCAGCCATAGAAACTTCAGTAAGCATCAGCTGGGGCCTCAGTATTGTGAATGCACTGTTCCCATTCTAGAATGCAAGATACTGTAGCCTATTTTTTTTTGTGTGTGTGTGTGTGTGTGTGGTGCTAGGGCTACACATGCTCCACTTTCTCTGGTGGTAGTGGTTAATCTAAAGGTGGGGAAGAATGCAGGGTGGTCCCCTAAATCTCTGATATGTTGAATTTTGTCCCCACAAAAGATAGATTAATGTTCTAATGCCCAGTACCTCAGAACATGTCCTCATTCAGAGATAGAATTCCTGCAGATGCAATTAATATGAGGCCCCTTAATCCAGTATGACTGCTGTCTATGTAAGAGGAAGACGGGAGACACAGAGACATGGACATGATGGGGGAAAGCCCTGAAATGAGGGACTCTGAGACTGGAGTGAGGTAGCTAAGCCAAGGAACACCAAAGGCTGCCCCAGAAGCTGTGAGAGACCAGAAGGCTTTTTCTGTATCTATTGAGATCATGTGATTTTGTCCTTGATTGTATTTATGCCTATTACGTTTATTGATTTGTAAATGTTGAAACATCTTTGCAGCCCTAAAATGAAACCAACTTGATTATGATGTTTAATCTTTTTAATGTGCTATTGAATTTGATCTGAAAGTGTTTGTTAAGGATTGTCACATCTTTGTTCATCAAGGATATTGTCCTGTAATTTTCGTTTCTTGATGTGTTTTACCCAGTTTTGATTTCATTATAATACCAGTTTTGTATAATGAGTTTGGAGGCATTCCCTCCCTTTCTATTTCAAGTACTAATTAGATAATTGGCCTTAGTTGTTTTGGTATGTTTGTTTATTTATTGTATGGTACTGGGGATTGAACCCTTGGGTGCTCTATCACTTGAGTTACACCCCCAGCCCTTTTTATTTTGAGGGAGGGTCTCATTTAGTTCCCAGGCTGATATTGAACTTGCATTTCTCCTGCCTCAGCCTCCTGAATTGCTGGGGTCATAGATAATGTGCCACTTTGCCTGGCGCTGTTAGTTCTTTAAAGATCTGGTAAAATTCAGCTGTGACTCTATTACGTCCTGGGTTTTCTCTGTTGGGAGGCTTTTATATATATATATATATATATATATATATATATATGGTTTTCAGTAGACACAACATCTTTATTTTATTTTATGTTTTTATGTGGTGCTGAGGATTGAACCCAGAGCCCCACGCATGCCAGGCGAGTCGCTACCGCTTGAGCCACATCCCCAGCCCACTTCATCTCTAATCTTATTAATTGAATTCTTCCCTCTGGATTTCTCAAGGGAGCATGACCCTCCCATCACATTGAGGACTGACTTCTATACCCCAGATATGTGAGACAATAAATTTTCATTATTTTGAGCTAAAACACACACACACACACACACCTAAAACTATTTTTCAATATATAACATAATATATATGCATATTTTATATTAATACTTTGTATTTCTCTCCTTGGAGTTTACTTTCTGCTCTTGGAACACACTAATTTAGCTACAATTATACCTCTTTTCCCCGTTTCCTCCTATTAACAAAAGAAAAAATATATCTCCTCTGTTCTAAGATTAATTTCTCTAATCTGGCTTCAAGACTCTTCTTCCGGGGCTGGGGTTGTGGCTCAGTGATAGAGCGCTTGCCTCGGATGTGTGAGGCACTGGGTTTAATTCTCAGCACTACATATAAAAAATAAAGGTCCATCAACGACTAATAAAAATATTTTTAAAAAGACTCTTCTTCCGCTCATTTCACTCAAGAGATTGCAATTCTAACTCTCTATCTGGCAGTTAGGAAAGGATATATAAGCTGTGATATACCACCCACTACAGTCCTTCCCCCACCACCACCACTCCAGCCTTCCATTCTCCCCCACCCTTTCACCTCTTCCACTTCTACCATTGTAGTCAAGATTCCTGTGATTCATAATCTAATGATAAGCCATTTAAGCTGGGTGCAGTGTTATATGCCTGTAATTCCAGCAGCTTAGGAGGCTGAAGCAGGAAGATCCCAAGTTCAAAACCAGCCTCAGCAACTAAGAGAGGCCCTGTCTCAAAATAAAATACAAAAGGGGCTGGGGATGTGGTTCAGTGGGTAAGCAACCCTGGGTTCAATCTCTGATACCAAGAAATTTAAATAAAGATAATTCAGTGAGATAGACATCAATTTTCTGCTATATATTGGAAACAATACATTTACAAGTTCTTTGGTTAACTTTTTGAAATGTGGCACTGATTTTGTTTTCTAATTACAACATAAATGAGTGTTTAACAACAACAACAACAACAACAACAAAAAAACCCTGGGGATGGAGATTTAGTTCAGTGGTAGAGTATTGGCTTAGCATGCTGGAGACTCTGCATTAGATTCCCAGCACTGAAAACAAAACAAAATAACAAGGGAAAAAACTCTCCTTCCACCTACAGATATCCCGTTAACATTTTGGTGGATGTCCTTCAAGTCATTGTTTAAAAATACATATTTGTTTTTATTAATTAATATGGCAGGCTTTTATATTAGTGTTATATAAGCCAAAAAAGAATTAGACTAGCTAACATCTTAGATGGGTGATTAATTTTTAAGTTAAATTTTAGTATTTATTTTCTAGGTATTTTATTCTTTTAAGTGTTTATAACCTTAGCTCTTCTTTTTCAAATCATTTTCTAAAGTCAAGATACATCTGAGAAATCTCAGGACTGTGATGTACAATTTAAAGCAAAGCGTGATTTTCTAATGAGTGGTTTGCCAGATTTGTTGAAACGACAAATTGCAAAGAAAGCTGCTGTTCTGGATGTGTACAATTCATTGAGTACCAGTTTCCAGAAAGTTGTTCATATACAACAAAAAGATGATGGTAAGTTTATTATTATTCAACATTTACTCTTTTTTAACTGTTAGAAGTAATATAAAACTATATAGGTAGTTTAAAATGAGGCTAAGTTTTCTTAGCCTCAGGTCATTCTTTTTGTGATTTTAGTGGGAATTTTAAGTATATGTTTCATCCTCTTTTCCTTAGCCTTTTACTCACTTTAATGAGAATGGAGGTTTGCAGAGCAAGGAAGCCAAAGGGAACCTTCCTCCATACCTTGTCAGAAACATGCAGGAAAGTGTGAAGGACCTTGAGTGAATATTCTCTAGACAGGCACTATGTTCTAAAAGGAAGGCAATTCCTCTCTGAAATCGGAGCAGATCATCTTTATTTCTCTGAAGTGCTGGGAATTTAGCTCACTGGGAGAGCACTTGGCCTAGCATGCATGAGGCCCTGGGTTCCATCACCAGCACTCTTTAAAGAAAAAAAAACGCGCGCGCGTGTGTGTGTGTGTGTGTGTGTGTGTGTAAGTAAACACACACACACATTTGTCCTATCCATTATTATTGTATGGTCAGAGAAATCCATTCACATCCTTTCAGAACAGCTTCAACTATTTAGTACCATATTAGTCTCTTCATAGAATACACAGGTAACAAGTAGCAAGGAAGCTGTGCAAAAGTATCTTATTCCATGGTGTCAGCCTAATCATAATCCAGTTTTATTTGGATTCAGATGCTATAACAACCATAACCTTTACTTACAGTTTTTAGTTACTGATAAAGTACAAAAAAGGCTTTTATCATTACGTCAGCATTACTTCTACCCAGAGATGTTTTTGTTTCATTTTATTTTGTAGCTTTTTGGTTCTGGGGCTGGTGTTGTAGCTCAGTGGTAGAGTGCTTGCCTAGCAAGTGTAAGGCACTGGGTTTGATCCTCAGTACCACTTAAAAGTAAATAAGTAAATAAAATAAAGATTTTTTTAGAAAGACAAGTTCAGCTCAGCTGGTTTTGAGGTTTGGTTTTGGGCATTCCTCATGACCATGAAATGCATATTGTTTTCTATTCTTTTTTCTTTTCCTTTTGTGTTTCTGACCTTATTACCTAATAAGTTTTGTTCAGCCTCTTTTGGTATAGGGAATTTCTCAGTCTAATAATTTTTTCTGCTTTTCCCTATTTTGCATTTCTGCCACTGTCATTAAGTTGATGAAAAAAACCTTTTTTTTCTTGTGGTCTTGGGAACCAAACCCAGAGCCTCATGCATGCTGGGCAATTACTGTAACACTGAGCTATATCCCCAACTCACCCTTTTTTAATATCATGTTTAAATATAAAAATGGATTGTGCTTTTTTTTTTCCTGAATGCGATTTTTGAAAGAAGTGCTACTATAAAACTTAGCATTCTTTCTTTCTTTTTTGTTGGGGGCAGGTGTTGCTAAGGATTGAATCCAGGGACATTCTACCATTGAGCTATATTTCCAGTCCTATTTTTCATTTTCAATCAGGGTCTTGCTAAGTTGCCTAGGCTGTCCTTAGATTTGCAATCCTCCTGCCTCAATCTCCAGGGTCACTGGGATTATAGGTATATATTTCCATGCCAGGCCCAAATTTAGTATTTTTGTTTTTAGATGAGCAGATGAGGCAAGAACTGGGGGAATCCCCTTTCTTTTACATCCTTAATAATTATGAAGTACTCATTGTTAACCGGAATTCTGCTGAGCACTTATCACACTCATTTTACCACACTCATTTGGAATCTTGTTCATATAAGAATGATAGTTGGCAGAATTTGGATTGGAATACAGATTTGACTTTAAAGTTTAAACTTTAAATGAGTTTGCTAATACCCCCTAAAATCCTAAAATTTTTTTTTAAATATTTATTTTTTAGTTTTAGGTGGACACAATATCTTTATTTTATTTTTACTTGGTGCTGAGGATCGAACCCAGTGCCTCACACATGCTAGGCGAGCACACTACCACTTGAGCCACATCCCCAGCCCCAAAATCCTAAAATTTTTACCCTAAGTATCAAAACTGATTAAAAAAGAAATGAAAGTTTGCTAATATGTGCTTCTTTTAACAATTGGGAGGAATTTTTATTAATTGTATTTGTTAGAGGTGAGGATATTGTTCCCTTTGTACTCATTTGGGTTTTTGGTACTTTTATGATAACTATGTGGTTGTCACATCATTTTTGTTTGTTTTTTGTGGTGTTAGGATTTATCAAGTCTTTTCATATTCGACATTCAGTAAACACAGTATAAAAAGTTAATTAAGATAGTTTTTCTGTTTCTCTTCAGGGTGTTGGTTATGGAATTTGAAACTACCTACTTGTCCTCTGTTAACTACATTTAAGGAGTCTAATACTAAAGTAATAGATCTCTCAAAATGTGTTATTGCTCTTGGTGAATTTTCAACATTGAATTCAAATTCAAAAAGTAATTCTGCTGTCATGGTAAGTACTAGAGAGCTAATCTGTTGTTGTAGGGCATTTTCTTCACATCTTTCAGAGGAAAAAAATTGGATGCTACTTTTTTAACGTAGAATTCCTTTTCTTCCCCTAATGTCCAATTTTTTAAAAGTGTATCTAATTGAAATACAGATTTCTTTTAAATATTCACAGAGTTACACATGTGCACGTGCACACACACACACACACACATACATGATTTCAGTTCTGGGGATTGAATCCAAGGACAGTCTAGCTCTGGGCTACATCCCCATCCATTTTTTTTTAAGAGAGAGAATTTTTTAATATTTATTTTTTAGTTTTCGGTGGACACAACATCTTTATTTTATTTTTATGTGGTGCTGAGGATCGAACCCAGCGCCCCACGCATGCCAGGTGAGCGCGCTACCGCTTGAGCCACATCCCCAGCCACCCCTATCCCTTTTTAATTTTTTTAAATTTTGAGACAGGTCTCCCTAAATTGCCTAGGCTGGCCTTGAACTGGCCATCCCCCTGCCTCAGCCTCTTGAGTTGCTGGAATTACAGGCGTGTGCCACCACACCCAGTAAATACAGAGCTTGAAAAACATTTTAAGAATTAATAATAGCCAGGCTGGAGATGTGGCTCAAGCCGTAGCACGCTGGCCTGGCATGCGTGCAGCACGGGTTCAGTCCTCAGCACTACATACAAACAAAGATGTTGTGTCCGCCGAAAACTAAAAAAAAGATAAATATTAAAAAATTCTCTCTCTCTCTTTCTCTTTTTTTAAAAAAAAGAATAATAGCCAACTTCAAAGAAATGTTAGATTATATAGCACAGTTAGATGCTTTATAAGTCAGCACTGTCTAATAGGTGTGTAAAGTACAATTACTTGTAAAGAAAAAAATATGAAATAAGTCTTTCAAAAATTATGCAAGTGCAGCTTTGTGTTTAATGACTAAAGCTAATCCAACATTTATATTGATTTAATATGAACAGAACATAGTTGGTAGTTTTGTGATTAACATGCATAAATGATATGTGTTTGCTATTATGCATTTTATTCTTCATTGCAGCTTATAAGGACAAGGAAGAATTTTACTAAAGAAGTAAGAAATCTTTTGCTAGAAGAAATTAGGTGGTCAAATCCTGAATTTTCTGTGGGAAAATATTTTCCCTTGCTTCTAAAAAAACAAATTGAGCACCAGGCACTTTCTGAGTATCATGGTAAACAAGGTTAGTGATCATTGTTATCATTAATGTTAATATTTTGGTTTTGAAACATAAAGACTTAGGCTTTGACTCTTAGAAGCGGCCACCATAGACAGAACATTGCTTACAGATGGCAAGGAGAAATGTTAACTTCAAGCAAAGCATCTTGAGCAATGCAATATTAGTGCCTGCCAGCTTCCATAGATGTCAATCCAAAGACAGTTTTAATTATAAATCATTCATTTAAGGAAAGCCAGATAAGAGGATTTTAACTTACATATCTTATACAAAAGGCACTCAAATATTAAAAATCTCAGCTTACTTTCAGTATGTCACATTCCATTCTTACCTTTTCATCTTAATGTCATAAGACTACAGGCTATTTAGAAGTGATATGAAGATTACTGGGTGTTGAAAATGCTTTTTGTTGATTAACAGCACATGCATTTTATGATTTCCCAAATCAGAAAATCCACAAGTAGAGCTTGATAACAATCAAAAAGAAAGCAAAAGGAAACGAGTGGAAATAGAAAATCAGAAGTCAAAAAGAAAGAAACCAAATGAATATTCAGTAAGTCCAGTAAAGATAAATGGGAAGCCAGAAGAACTTGACAAAAGAAACAACTCTTTTGAGAAAAAGCTAGGTTCTTCCAAAGGTATATTTTCTAAAATGTCTCGGAAGAAACAAACTGCTTTGAGTACACCACGTAAAGTGAAAACAGGAGCAGTAGAAGATAATGATATTCTGATCATAGATGGTGACAGAGAGTTTCCAGCAGAAATATCTTCCATTTCTGGTAAATTGGATTTTCTTCCTCTCAACTTAGAACTTGGTTTTTAATCTCTTCTTTTTCTGTCTCTGCATTATTTTTTTTAAACATTTATTTTTTAGTTGTAGGTAGACACAATACCTTTATTTTATTTTTATGTGGTGCTGAGGATTGAAACCAGTGCCTCACGCATACCAGGCGAGTGCTCTACCTCTGAGCCACATCATCATCATCATTATTTTCATTATTATCATTATTATTATTATTATAGGTACTGGGATTGAACCTGGAGAACGTTTAACCACTAAGCCACATCCCAGCCCTTTTTATTTTTCATTTTGAGACATGATCTCACTAAATAGTTCAGGGCCTAAGTTGCTGAGGCTGGCTTTGAACTGGGATCTTCCTACGTCAGCTTCCATGGCTGTTCAGATTACAGTCATGCACCATCAAACCCAGCCATTTTCCCCTCTCTCAAAAATTTTTTTTGAACTAGGTGCAGTGGTGCACCCTTGTAATCCCAGTGACTCGGGAGTTCAAAGCCATCCTAAGCAATGGTGACGTGCTTAACAACTCGCTGAGACCCTGTCTCTAAATTAAATAAAATACAAAATAGGGCTGGAGATGTGGCTCAGTAGTTGAGTGCCCCCAAGTTCAATCTCCAGTACCAAAAAAAAATTTTTTTTCCTTTTTTTAAATTTTGAGCTGGGTTCTTGCTATGTTATCAGGCTGGGCTCGAACTCAAGATCCTCCTGTTTTAGCGTTCCTTTTTTTTTTTTTTAAATGTTTATTTTAGTTGTAGGTGACCTTTATATTATTTTTATGTGTTGCCGAGGATGGAACCCAGAACCTCACATGTGCTAGGCGAGTGCTTTACCACTGAACCACAATCCCAGCCCTGTTTTAGCCTTTTTAGTAGCTGGGACTGTGGGCAGACACCACCATTCCTTACCACCCTTTCTTTTAATGTACATCTATTGCAACTTTTAAACAATGTATGTCCAATGTATTCCTTTGAATTCATCCATTTTATATTTTCATTGGTCAAAAGAAACCACATATGCTGCCTTTTTTCTATAGATTGTTGGGTTTTATAAAAATTATTTTTAATAGTCATATTTCTTGATTGGTTGTTAAATTTTAAGATGTACTTCTTTATACCTTTCATGAGATTTTATGGTGGTTAGGTTTGGGGTTTTTAGTACCAGAGAATAAATCCAGAGGAGCTTAACCCCAGAGTCACATCCCCAGCCCTTTTTATATTTTATTTTGAGACATGGTCTCATTGAGTTGCTTAAGGCCTAACCAATTTGCTGAGGCTGGCTTTGAACTGTGATCTTCCTGCCTTAGGCCCCAGTGCTTCTGGGATTGCAGACCTGCATGCCCACTGAGTGCAGTAGTTAGTTTTTTTGTTACTGTTGTTGCTTTTTTTTTCCCCCCCAGGGGGTTGGATTTGGTGTCGAAAATTTTAAAGTAATGTTTAAGTTTTAAAAATTACATTTTTGGCATTTTATAAATGTAAATATTTTTACAAATATGTATTATTTCATTATAAAAAATGTTAATGTCTAAGAATATATGCTTATGTCAAGGAGTGAATACTATCTTAGCTTTTTCTTTTCTGCTTTAGATTCTGGAACTGAAGACATGCTTTGGACAGAAAAGTATCAACCTCAAAATGCCAGTGAACTCATAGGCAATGAGTTAGCTATAAAAAAGTTACATAGGTTGGTAAAATTTTTAAAGCATTAAAAATTTTATAAATTTAGTGTTCAGTTAAATCTAAAAGTTAGAAATTACAAACTAACATACTAAATGGGAAACATCATTTAAAAAAAAAAAGAATTTTAAGTGAAGTTTCTCTCTTCTCATATTTCCACTGCCCAAGGTTACTGCTATTAAAACTTATTTTTATAATATCTAAAGTTTAAGAGATGTTGATATTCTGTGAATTTTCTTTTTATTAATATACTTTATGACAGTTGGTTGAAAGACTGGAAGAGAAGAGCTGAACTGGAAGAAAGACAGAATTTGAAGGGAAAAAGAGAGGAGAAACAGGAAGGTATTTGACTCATTTTTTTTCTTCTTAACTGAACATTTTTTTAGAGTTAAATTAGCTCGGAGCTGGGCATGTGGCTCAAGCGGTAGCACACTCGCCTGGCATGCGTGCGGCCCGGGTTCGATCCTCAGCACCACATACAAACAAAGATGTTGTGTCCGCCGAGAACTAAAATAAATAAATAAATAAATATTAAAATTCTCTCTCTCTCTCTCTTTAAAAAAAAAAAAAGAGTTAAATTAGCTCAAACATTTTTATGTAATTTTAAAGTTAATATATAATATTTGGCTTAACTTTTATAAATTCATTTTCCAGTATTTATTGTCAAGAAATTTGGGGGGACTGGGGTTGTGGCTCAGTGGTAAAGTGCTCGCCTAGCATGCATGAGGCACTGAGTTCGATCCTGAGCACCACATAAATGTAAAATAAAGATATTGTGTTCACTTAAACCTAAAAAGTAAATATTTAAAAAAAAAAAAAAAGAAATTTGGGGTGTTTGATTATTGGGTTTCATGAGATAGAATTGCTGCCTAAACAATTAATCATTTTATATGTTTTTGAATAATTTTTCAGATTTGTCAGATAGCAAAGACTTTAAAGGCAGTTCAGATGATGAGGAAGAGAGTCGTCTTTGCAATACTGTTCTTATAACAGGGCCAACAGGAGTGGGAAAAACTGCTGCAGTGTATGCTTGTGCTCAGGAGCTTGGATTCAAGGTTAGTAGGTGCAGTGGAAGAATGTTAATGTTAATAAGTAACCTTGACCTAAAAGAAAACATAAAGTATTCTGCCATTTTCTCATTTATTCTTCTAGATATTTGAAGTAAATGCCTCTTCCCAGCGCAGTGGTAGACAGATTCTGTCTCAGCTGAAGGAAGCTACTCAGTCCCATCAAGTAGACAAGCAAGGTGTAAACTCACAAAAACCCTGCTTTTTTAATAGCTACAACATAGGCAAGTCACCAAGTAAGTAAATTATTTTTCTTAAGGTATAGCCTTTTGAGAAAAGTAAAACCTGAGAAAATAGTTTTTAATTGTCAACATTTTGCCTTTTTTTTTTCCATAACTGGGGTATCGAATCTAGTAGTATTCCCAATTTTTTTTTTTAGTTTATATTTGAGACAGGGTCTAGCTAAATTACCCATGCTGACCTTCAACTTGGGATCCTCCTGCCTCAGTCTCCTGAGTAGCTGGGATAGCACCATGCCTTGCTTGCCATTCATTTTAAATCTTTTCTTGCATATTAACATGTTTTGTTTTTTCCCCTGAACTATTTTAAAACAAAATAAATCTGAGGGACTTCATGTAATTTTACCCACATATACTTTCTGTTTTCCTAAATATTTATTTTTTTGTAGTTGTAGTAAGACACATTACCTTTAATTAATTAATTAATCAATCAATCAATCAATTTTTTTGTGTGTGGTGCTGAGGATCAAACCCAGGGCCTCACACATGTGAGGCGAAGCTCTACTACTGAGCCATAACCCCAAACCCCCCCCCCCCAACACATATGCTTTTAACCAATAAAGGCTTTTTGAAAAGCATATCAATAGTATCATAATCAGGTCTAACAAAATGCAATGTATTACTTAATATCCTCTAATATACTGATTTTAGTTTCCTGTTGTTCACATTGTTTGTTTAAATCAGGATCCAAACAAGGTTCATATCTTATATTTAGTGTTTTTTTTTTAATTGTTAATCTCCTTAACAATTCCCTGACCCATTATTTTCATGTTGTTTATATGTTGAACAGCCTGTCATTTGCCATAGGATTTCTCGTAGTTTGGACTTGGCAATGATTGTATCCTCACACTGTCAGTTAACATTTTCCTCTTCCCTATATTTCTTATAAATTGGTGGTTAGATAGTGGGGCTTGATTAGATTCAGGTCTGTTTTGTGTGTGGCATATGTGAATAGGTAGGCTTCTACTTCTTATGACATAGCAGCAGAACACACATCCTTCTTAGTGATATTGAGAGTAATCAGTGAATTCAAGTATTTTCATTCTGACCCATATACCATAACCTCCCTTACCTTTAGTTAATGGTACTTTAGACCCACTAATGATCTTTGTCTAATGGAATAATTATTGTTAGGGATTTTTAAATGATGATATTGTAATTCTCTCAGCCTTTTTGCATTTATTAGTGGGAATTCTGAGAAGCACTATTCTTTGTCAACTATTTGGATACTTTAAAATATAGTTCATAGATATAAACTATATTTTAAAATGGTTCTTTTTTATTTTTCTGTACTGGGGATTGAACTTGGGGGTGTTTTATCACTGAGGTACATCCCCAACTCCCTTTAAAAAATTTATAATTGTAGATGGACAGAATGCCTTTATTTTATTTGTTTATTTATATATTGTGCTAAGAATCAAACTGAACCCAGTTCCTCACACAGATGCTAGGCAAGTGCTCTGCCATTGAGCTGTAGCCCCAGCCCTTCACATCCCTTTTTAATTTTTATTTTGAGACAAGGTCTGACTAGGTTGTTTACATCCTCACTAAATTGATTAGGCTGGCTTTTTGTTGTTGTTCTTGTTCTTTTTAGTTATATGTGACAATAGAATGTATTTTGAGGGGGGTTGGGGTAGAGCGTTTGACTAGCATGTGTAAGGCACTGGGTTTAATCCTCAGCACCACATAAAAATAAGTAAATAAAATAAAGGTAATGTGTCTATATACAACTACAAAGAAAAAGAAAAGAATGTATTTTGACTACTATACATGCATGCAGTGTAACTTTTCATTCTTGTGGTTTTACATGATGTGGAGTTACACAGGTCATATATTCATATATGAACATAAGAAAGTTAGGTCAGATTCATCCTACTTTCTTTCCTGTTTCCATTCTCGGTCTCTTCCCCTTCATTCCCCTTTGTCTAATCCAATGAACTTCTCTGCCTCCCCACTTATTATATGTTAGCATCTGCTTATTAGAGAGAACATTGGGCCTTTAGTTTTTTGGGTTGGCTTATTTCACTTAGCATGACAGTCTCCAGTTCCGTCCATTTACTTGCAAATGCTAAGGCTGGCTTTGAACTTGCTATCTTTCTGCCTTGGCCTCCCATACCACTGGGATTACAGGCATGTGCCATCATGACCAGCTCTTTCTTTTATTTTCTTGTTCTTAGAGTAATGATATTCTAGCAACCTCCAAATTGACCAAGGAGGTTTTTTTTTTTCCTTGGGGGAAGAAGGGTTGGTATTACTATGAACTCATGGATTTTAACATATTTAATGTTTTTCAGTCCTTTGTGTTCATTATTCATTGCAATTTTTAAATTGTTTTCTTTATCACTAGGTTTTTTGTTGTTGTTGTTGTTTTTCTTTTTTTGGTGCCAAGGATTTAACCCAGGGCACTTCACAACTGAGCTACATCCCAGACTTTTTTTTTTTTTTAATATTTATTTTTTAGGTGTAGATGAATACAACACAATTTTTTTTTTTTTTAATGTGGTGCTGAGGATCGAACCCGGGCCCCACCCTTGCTAGGCCAGCACTCTACTGCTGAGCCACAATCCCAGCCCCCCAGACCTTTTTTTTTATATTTTATTTAGACACAGGGTCTCACTGAGTTGCTTAGGGCCTCGTTAAATTGCTGAGGCTGGCTTTGAACTCACAATCCTCCTGCCTCAGCCTTCCTGGCCCCTGGGATTACAGGCATGCACTCCTGTGTCTAGCACTTGTTTTAATTTATTTGATTATGATGTTCGTTGGTGATTTTCCACATATTTTGTTTGTTTGGTGGTGTTGTGATTCTTTGATATATGGGTTGATAGTTTTCAGTAAACTTGGAAAATTTCAACCATTATTTCCCGAAATATGTTTTCTGTTCTCCACCTTTGGAAACTTAATTACAGATATCTTCGACTACTTGCAGTTGTCTCACAGCTCAGTGATTTTTATTTTCTTGGTAAAGAACCCCCAGGTGCTTTACCACTGACCAATATCTCCAGTCTTTTTTTTTTTTTTATTGTTATTTTGAGACAGGGTCTCCTAAGTTGCTGAGGCTGGCCTGGAACTTGCGATCCTCCTGCCTCAGCCTCTCTAGTCACATCACTGTGCCTGGCCTCTCTGATGTTTTGTTCATTTTTTCAATCTTCATCCTCTTTGTGTTTCAGTTTGAATAATTATTACTATTTACTCAAGTTTACAGACCTTTTCTCCTGCAGTATCTAATATGCTTTCAGTGCCATAGTGTAGTTTTCATTTCTGTAATTTTTTTTTTTTTTTTTGTGGTGCTGGGGATCAAACCCAGGGCCTTGTGCATGCAAGGCAAGCATGCTACCACCTGAGCTATATCCTCAGCCCATTTCTGTACTTTTTATTTGGGTCTATTTTACTCTGATGTGTTTCTACTTAACATGTACTCAGTCTTTCCAATAGTTTTTTTTTTTTTTTCATTTGTTCTTTTTAGATATACATGACAGTAGAGCACATTTTGACATATTATACATACATAGAGTATATAGTTTTTTTTTTTGTTTTTTGTACTGGGGATTGAACCCAAGGTTATTCAGCCACTGAACCACATCCCCAGTCTGTTTTTATTTTTTATTTTGAGACACAGTCCTGCTAATTGCTTAGGGCCTCACTAAGTTTCTGAGGCTGGCTTTGAACATTCCATTCTCCTGCCTCAGCTTCCTGAGTTGCTGGGATTACAGGTGTGTGCCACATAGACATAGAGGTTTTTGAACATAAGGAGTACAATGACAGTAACTATTTTAATATTTTTAATCTATGTATATCTAGTATCTGTATTGTCTCTGGTTTGGTTTTTCAATCGATTGTTTTTCTTTATTATGGATTGTATTTTTCTATTTCTTTGGATAGAAAAAGAACATATGCTCTGGAATTAATGCCTTGGGGCTTCTGGAGGTAGAGATCAGTAATTTATTTTTTTAACTCTATCCTCCAAAGCATCTTTAGAAATATATATTTCTTGCTTCTAAAGTCAATTTACAATAGGGATAAGCTGAAGTTGAACAATAAAATTTATGTTCTGTTGTCATTTTTTCCTCTATCCTCTTCTGACCTCAATCAAATGTTGAGCAACTCACTAAAGGGATTGTGATCATTACTTGTTTCAAAAATATGTATTTCTTTGGAAAAGAGTGTTTTCCAAATTTTCCGTTTTCCAAATGGTTGGTTTGCCTTCTCTATGTGGGCATAAGTAACAATATAGTGATTTTTTTTACTGCATTGAGCATTTGAATGTAAGAATGAAAGAAAATTTCTGTATCTTTGATTTTTACCTGATAAGGAGAAATATACAATCTTGCTACCTGTATAGTTTTAGAATGTTTATCCTTAAACACAGTTTGTTTTGTGCAGAAAAATTAAACTCTCCTAAGAAAGTTGTTACTTCACCAAGGAAACTTCCTCCATCATCACCAAAAAGTAATGGGCAGAAGCGAGGAATTCCCCCTAAAACTTTGGCAAATTACTTTAAAGTATCTTCCAAGTCCAAAAATAATGAAGAAATAGGAGAACTTCTGGAAAGTAATAAAGGTAAATCATTAAATTGACAAATAAACTTGGCTTTTTATTTTTATTTTTATTTTTTTAGTTGTCAATGGACTTTATTTATATACGGTGCAGAGAATCAAACCCAGTGCCTTACACATGCTAGGCAAGTGCTGTACCACTGAGCCACAACCCTAGCCCAAACTTGGCATTTTTTAATAATAATGGTCTGGATACATGAAAATCTGCAGATATTTCATGAGTTCCTATTGCTGTTATTGAAAGCTGAATTATACTGAAGGTTCTACATATAGAAGTTCTGTTTCAGTTTTTTTAAATGTATATTTATTTTAGTTATAATGGACCTTTATTTTATTTATATATGGTGCTGAGACTCAAAGCCAGGGCCTCACACATGCAAGGCAAGTGCTCTACCCTGGAGCCACAACTTTATTTTACTGGCTATTTACTTGAGGAGCTGTTTCAGGAACCACCTCAAGTTCAAGGGCAATCTATGTAACTTAATATGACCATCTCAAAATTTAAAAAAATAATAATGAAAAGGACTGAGGATGTAGCTTAATGGTAAAACACTTGCCTAGTATGTGTAAGCCAAAAATGTTGATTTTTGCCTAAAATAGCAATATTTTATTTATTCAGGAATTAAAAATTCTTTGGAACAGAAGCAAATTACTCAGACTAAATCTGCAAGTGTACCTAATTCAAATGTCAAAGAATTTGGAGCTGAAGAACCCAACAGGAAAAATGCAACATCTCTTATTCTTTTTGAGGAGGTAGGCTTACAGAGGTACAACATTCATGACATCTTGGTAAAAATTTCTTTAAAAAGATACACACACACACACACACACACACACTCTCTCTCTCTCTCTCTCTCTCTCTCTCTCTCTCATTCCTCCCATGGTGCTGGGGATTGAACTCAGCGTCTTACACAGGCTAGTTAAGTGCTCTATCACTGAGCTCCATCCCCAGCCAATCTATTTGATTAAAGCAAATGAAACTGTTATCTCTTGAATTTTTTTAGGAAGATAATTAATGCAATTCAATGTTACTAATTATTTAATGATCATAGAAATTATTCTGACCTTCATCTATCCACTTACAGGTGACTGCATTTTTTTTGGTTTTAATGTTTAATATTTGATAATCAAAAAAAAATTTATAAGATATAAGCTTTCATCATGGGCTGACAATACTTTTTAAAAAATTAATAAATTTTGTCTCTCACAGGCGTATAGTATTTTTACTGTGTATACATAATTGAGATCTAGTAAGTATTTTGTTACTTGTTAATATTCTAATAAATGGTTTGTAGGTTGATGTCATTTTTGATGAAGATGCTGGTTTTTTGAATGCAATCAAAACATTCATGGCAACAACGAAACGACCTGTAATCCTTACTACAAGTGGTATGTAACAATGATTTTAGTACAAAAAATTACTTTTGGTTAAAATGTTTAGGAAAGCCTCTAATTTTGTTCCTTTAAAAATTAGTTGACTGGTCCACACAGTGAGGTGTACCTATAGTCCCAGCTGCTCTGTAGACTGAGGCAAGTGGATATCTTAAGGATTCTTCAAATTTGAAGGAAAAAAAAAATTGATTTGCAACCTTCAGTAATTAAAAACTATTGTATTATTTCACAAATAGCGATGACTTTTTAAAAATAGGTACTACATTGGATAACCATGTTGAGTATTAGATATTTAGTAAGCTGATCACAGCCTGGAACACAGATAGATTTATGGATTAGCTAGTGTTACAGTAAGAAAACATATCAGATCATTTTCTTTCTTCTTCATTGTATCTGTAATTAGATCATCAGACCTCATTTTCTAGTCCTTTCTACAGTTACTTAACATTGAATTTAAGCCCCTTATGACACTTCCAATATGGATTATTGCACATTTTAGCTAAAGTAAGCTATCATCAACCTAACAGAATCTCCTTTCTCGGGAATTAGCATTGCATAGTTTTCAAAACTCGTACAATTTCCTTTCTTTTAAAAAAAATTACAAATATTATATTTTCATTTTTGTCTAATATTTTTCATTGCATTATTCAGGAGACTAGCTCTGCCATAGACTTCTATGAAAATGTGTATGTTTTAGATTTTACCTACAAATTGATGGCCCATTTAACAGTGATTGTGTTCTAAAAATATTTATAAAAATCCTGTTCATCATAAGGTGGTAGTTTAATTAAAAGATCATAATTACTTTAGGTCAAGATGGAAAGTTAGTTCCATAAGGATCAGTGATGTGCATGGTATTATTGTTTAGTAGACTCCCCTTACCTGCTGAGGATACTTCCAAAACTCCCAGTGGATACCTGAAATATCAAGTAGCACCGAGCCCTATATAATAAGTTAAATTTATAAGTAAGCACAGTAACAGATTAACAACAAAGAATCAATTAGAATAATTACAACAATATACTGTAAAAAATTACTCTTTGGACTTTGGGACCATTATTAAGTAAAATAAGAGTTATTTGAATGCAAGCGCTGTGATAGCCACAGAAATCAATTTGATAACCAAGAACTAAATGACTGACAGAAGGGAAGCATATACAGCATGAATATACCTAATGAAGTGATGATTCATCTCAAGCAGGATAGCTTGAGATTTCATCACATTACTCATCATGTCATGAAAATTTAAAATTTATGAATTGTTTAGTTTTACAGTTTTCTACTTAATATCTTTGGATCATCATTGACTGTAAGTAACTGAAACTGCAGAAAGCAAAACCATGGCTAAGGGTAGACTACTGTACTTTCATTATTAATGAAATGTTTAATATTTTGATAGACAAGTATAACTGGGAAAAGTTACTTAATGGTGTTAATGTTTAATTTTTTTTTTTTTCCCTGTAGATCCAACATTTAGTTTACTGTTTGATGGCTGCTTTGAAGAAATCAATTTCAGTACTCCTTCTCTGGTAAGTTTTGAATTTTGATGATCATAGATTATACACCATAATTATGTGAAAGTGATTTCTTATTAAATTTAGATATCATAATTTAAAAATGTGTTTGCTAAGGGATATATTACAACTTTTGTTAGTTTTAGGGAACTTCTGGCTTTTTTTTTTCCTTAAAAAAAGATTTCTAAAAAATAATTAAATTTTTTCTGTATTCAAATGTTCATTTGGGTTACCCCCCCCCCCAATAATAGTACCTAATTAAGGGAAAACATAAATATAGTTGAAATTTGAACTTTCTTAGATGTACTGTTCAATGAATGTTAACATATGTAAAAGCCCCCAAAAATCATCACTGAGATCAAAATATAGAACACTTCCATCACCTTCTAAACTTCCTAATGGCCTTCTGGTCAGCATGACCTTCCCAACTAGAAGTAACCATTATTCCTTTTCTGGTTTTCTTCACTGATGAACATTGCACTTTGTTTATTTTTTCTTTTAACCTTTGGAAAAAACAATTCTTTAATTTTAAAATGACATACATTGAAATTGACTTCTTTGGGTGTTATGTTCTATGATCTTTAATACCTATATAGATTCATGAAACCATTACTACAATTTGGATACAGAATAATTCTCTCACCCCATAAAACTTCTTCATGTTAATATCTATTAATTGAGATTAGTTTTGAAATTTCAAATAATAGGAAACAAACATTAAGCACCCTTTCGTATCTAGCTTCTTTCATTCAACACCAGGTTTTTTGGATTCATCCATGCTGTTCTGTTTTTGGAATTGTTGAGTCATATGCAGTAGGTATTTGTTTAATTGTTTTTTAAGAGTCTGCCAGATAAACCAGGTGCAATGGTATGTATCTCTAATGCTAGCAACTCAGGAGGCTGAGGCAGAGGATGGCAAGGCCAGCCTGGGCAACTTAGCAAGATCCTGTCTCAAAACAAAAATTATTATTATTTTTTTATTTTTTTTTTAATATTTTTTTTTTGAGAATTTTAATATTTATTTTTTAGTTTTCAGCAGACACAACGTCTTTGTTTGTATGTGGTGCTGAGGATCGAACCCGGGCCGCACGCATGCCAGGCAAGCGTGCTACCGCTTGAGCCACATCCTCAGCCCTCAAAATAAAAATTAAATAGGGCTTGGGGATATTGCATAATGGTTGAATACCCTGTTTTTAATTCCAGTGCTGCCAAAAAAAAAAAAAAAAAAGAATCTGCCAAATAGGTCTGTGCATGAGAATTGCAGTTATCAGTCTTTTTTTAACTTTAGCCACAATGATGTTATTCATCTGTGTTTGTGTTCATGTGGTTTTTGTTAATTACTTTATTGAAAAATAATTTACATAATAGTAAAATTTATTCGGTCTAAGTGTATGGTTCAATGAGTTTGACAAAATGTAGCTATTGGACATGTGCATCAAGATTTGAACATATTTTAAGTGCGATGTGGTAGCATACATCAAGTAATTCTAGCTATTTGGGAGGTCCATGTGAATTCTGGGCCAATTTGGACAACACAGTGAGACCATGACTTTAAAAAAAGAAACAAAAGTCCTTTTGAAATAGGATTTCTGTTAGAGAGTGAATGTAAATGTCAGAACACATTGAAGAGTCAGTCACAAGAATGTACTTGGGAAAATATGTAGGAAAATAGATATCAATATATAAGTTAGGAGATCAGACAAAGTATAAAGTGAGTGATAGGATTAGAAATATTTTCAACAGGGCTGCGGATGTGGCTCAAGCGGTAACGAGCTCGCCTGGCATGCACAGGGCGCTGGGTTCGATCCTCAGCACCACATAAAAATAAAGATGTTGTGTCCACCAAAAACTGAAAAATAAATACTAAAAAAAAAAAATTCTCTCTCTCTCTCTCTCTCTCTCTCTCTCTCTCTCTAAAAAAAAAGAAAAGAAAAGAAATATTTTCAACAGGGGGGTGGTTGAATATATAATCTTAGGAAGAAACAAGTATGTAGTTACCAATAGGATTGAAATTTGAAAGCATTAGGCAACGTAGACATGGATGTTTTTAGTAATCCATGCTCTCCTTAAATTGAGGCTTTGGTAGAATCTTAAATGTGGGCTTTGCATTAAAAAAAATAATAAAAAAAATAAAATTAAAAAAGGAACAAAATGAACATCACCTCAAAGATTCCATTGTGTTTAGACCCTTCCCCTACTCCTAAGCCCTGTCAACTACAGTCTGTTTTTCTGTCACTGTAGTTATGCTTATTATAGAATTTAATGTAAGTGAAATCTTTTTCTTTTTTTTTTTAAACCAGGGATGGAATCCAGGGGCACTTAACCACTGAGCCACATCCTCAGCCATTTTTATATTTTATTTTGAGATAGGGTCTCATAAAACTTTTTTTTAATATTTAGTCATGTAATGTGTCTGTTCTTTTTTTTTTCTTCTTCTTCTTTTAAATTAGCAGTGTTCTATCATATGGATGTACCTCAGTGTGTTTATCATTTCACCTGTTGATAGACATATGGGTTACTTCTAATGAAGTCATTTTTTTTTAAATTTTTAATTGTAGATGGACATGACTTTATTTTATTTATTTTTATGTGATGCTGAGGATCAAACCCAGTGTCTCAACATGCTAGGCAAGTGCTCTACCACTGAGCCACCACCCCAGCCCCCAAATTTGTTTTTTATGGAATTGTTCTAGCTATTGTATGTCTTATTCATTTCTCTCTATTAATTTTAGAAACAGCTTGTCAACTTTATAGTTTATTCTAGGTATTGCATTATATTTACAGATCAATTTTTGTAAAACTGACATTAAACAATATTGAGTCTTCTGATTCATGAAGGGAGGTGTTAATTTCTATAAGCAAGGTTTTATAATTTTAATTGTACATACTTTGCACATATTTTGTTAAATTGAGTCCTTGGTGTATCAATTTCTGTTACTATAAGGAAATATCTGAAGTTGTGTAATTTTATAAAGAAAGGAGGTTTAATTTAGCTCCAAATATGGAGGTCCAATGGAATAGTGCCAGCTTCTGCTCAGCTCTTGTGAAGGCCTCATTGAAGATGGCACCACAATGGCCGGAGCACCTGAGCTATATCAAATAGCTCCTGCAATATGGAGAAAAAAAATCAACAGAGTGAACAGTAAAGTATAGAGTGGAAATAAATTTATCAACTATCTAATAAGGGCTTAAGAGCCAAACCATAAGGAATTCCTACAACTCAATACCAAAATAAACAACTAGGTTTTTAAAATGAGCCAGTGACTTGAATAAACATTTCTCCAAAAAATAAAAAAAAATACATATGGCCAACAGGTATATGAAAAGATGTTGATTATCACTAGTCATTAGGGAAATGCAGATTAAACCACAATATGATATCATCTCACACCTGTTAGGATGGTCATTAGCCTTTCTACTACTTATTATTCAATTATTTGATGAGGGAAAAACATTAAAACTTGATCTTTGATTATAGATTTATATATAAATATATATTAATTTTTTTAGTTATTGATGGACTTTTATTTATTTATTTATATGTGGTGCTGAGGTTCGAACCCAGTGCCTCACACGTGCTAGGCAAGCGCTCTACCACTGAGCCACAACCCCAGCCCTGGATTTATCTATTTTTATTTTTAATTCTATCAGGTTTTGCTTCATAAATTTTTTGGGGGGGGGGCAGGGGTGATGGGCATCTAACCCATGGGCACTTTACCACTGAGCTACATTACCAGCCCTTTTCATTTTTTTATTTTGAGACAGGGTCTCACTAAGTTGCTGAGGCTGCCCTCGAACTTGTGATCTTCCTGTCTCAGTCTCCCAAGTCACTGGGATGCTTCATAGATTTTAAAGCTCTACTATTTTATGCATTTATATTTGGGATTGCCATATTCTCTTGATCAGTTGATTTTATCTGATTTTTTCTGATTTTAATAGCATACAATACTATTATGAATATAATTCCTTACATTTCTTGTATCTTTTTAATATTTAAATATTTTTAATATTTTTAGTTTTCTCATTTCGGTCTATCATCAATTTCAAATTAAATTCTGTGATTGGCATAGAATAGTAGTCAAAATTTCTCTTTTCTCATGGATTTCCACTGGTTCCTACCCTTATTTACTGAATATAATCTACTTTCCCCCATTTAATTGCTTTGGTATATTAAAAAATAATTTTAGTTCTGTACACACATGTCAATCTCTTTCAGGATTATTTATTTGGTTGCACCGATGTATTTGTCATTATTGCCAACATACTTTTGCTTTCTTTAAGACAGAGTTTCACTCAGTCTGATCTCAGGCTCCTGGACTCAAGAGATCCTCTCACTTCAGCCTCTTCCCTTAGTACTAGGATTATAGGTGTTTGCTACCACACCTGTCTTTACCATATTTCTTAATTTTGATGACTTTATAGTTAATGTTGATATCTGATAGTTTGTTCCCGAGTCTGGTCATTCTTCAAGTTGTTTTGGTTTTTCTAAGTTCCTTGCTCTTTCTTTTTTAAGTATTGAGGCTTGAACCCAGGGCCTCAAGCATGTCAAGCACACATGTGACCACTAAACTTACCTCTAACTTGTTTTTTACTTTAAAAAAGACTGCCAGAGCTGGGTCTGGTGGCACATGCCTATAATCCCAGCAGCTCAGGAGGCTGAGGCAGGAAGATAGCAAGTTCCAAGCCAGCCTCAGGATAAACGAGGCACTAAGCAACTCAGTGAGACCCTGTCTCTAAATAAAATACAAAATAGGGGGTTGGGCCTGTGGCTCAATGGCAGAGCACTTGTCTAGCATATGTGAGGCACTGGGTTTGAGCCTTAGTGCCACATAAAAATAAAATAAAGGCAATTCTGTCCATCTACTACTACAAAAACAAAACAAAAAAAAACCTTTTTTTTTTAGTCCAAAACAGTGCTGGGGATGTGGCTCAGTGGTTGAGTGCCCCTGAGTTCAATCCCCAGTACCCCCCACCCAAAAAAAAGGGGATGAGGATATAGCTCAGTGGTTAAGCACCTCTGGGTTTAATCCCTGATACCAAAAAAAGACTTCCAGCATTTTGATGGGAATTATGTTACATTCATAAATCAATTTGAGAGAAAATTGGCATCTCAATATTGAATTTTTCAGTTAATGAACATGGTAGAGTTCACCATTTATTTATCTTTGATTTTTTTTAAACAGTATTGGTGGTTTTTAGAGGCATAACAAACCTTTCTTTAAACTTATTCTTTGGTATTTCATGTTTCTAATGCTCCTGTAGACTTTATTCTTTGGGGGGAAAGGGGGAGGGTCCTAGGGATTGAGTGGATCCAGGGTGCTATACCACGGAGCTACATTCCAGCCTTTAAGTTTTTCACTTTGAGACAGGGTCTCACTAAATTGCTGGGGCTGGCCTGGAACTTGAAATTCCTCCTCAAGCCTCATGAGTAGCTGGGATTACAGGTGTGTGCCACCATTATTGGCAATTTTACTATCTTTAAAAAAAAAAATCCTTATCTACCTATTCCAGTATCTGTATTATCTTGTGTTCAGTTGCTCTTGATTACCATGTCTCTAAAGTATTGGTTATTTTTCTAATTTTCATGTGTCTGTTTAGATTTTCCTCCTGGACTTTGTGAATGATATTATGGATACCCGGATCCTGATAGTTCCTCTGAACAACTATTTGCCTGCAGTTTATTGCAGCACAAATTTGTGCTTGGTCCCTGTAGTTTCAGTTGGGCTGTTTTTAGAGAGGCCAGATTTGAGTCCTATTGCCTAGAATTTCTGTTTCTTTACCTCTGGATCCTTTCCTCTCTTTCAAACACTGATATCATTCCAGACTTTGTCCTCCGGTTCTTTAAGTCAGTAGCTGGGAGTTGCTCTCTGAATTTTATCCACCCTGCTGCAGCATTCCCTCAAAAATAATTAAAGGGGTAGAGGGGATTCACCCAGGGCCATTTAATGAATCCCTCTTCAGTTTTCTCTACTTTTGTTCACTGTCTTGTACTTTCAGGTGGTTAATTTATTTGCAGTTAATTATAAGTTTATAGTTATTTACACAGGCCAGGTTTTCCTGGTATTCACTACTCCGATATTAGATATAGAATTCCCAATTTATGGTAAACATAAATCCCAGAAGTATGCAAGAGTAAATGTATATTTGTAGAATAAAGGCAAACATTTCAAAGGGATATTTTTTTTACTTGCCTTATTTAGTATAGTGAAAATGCAATAATGGTTTATGAAATTTAAGTACAATTTATTTCTTTTAGTTTTCAAGGTAAAAAATTTTTTTCCATAGGAAACAATGTAAAGAGAATTGTACATATATATATGTCCATATATGCACACACATATATTTTATAAACCATACATACTACTGGAATACTAAATAAAATGAAAGAATTCTTTTTGTCTGTTAACTCATAACAAATAAAATGTTTTAGATTTTTCCCCTTTTATTTCTTATTTACGTACATATATATTTTTTATTTTTCCTTTTTTGAAGTTCCATGGATTGAACCAAGGGATGAAGTACCACTGAGCTAAATCCTTAGCCCTCTTTATTTTTTTTTATTTTGAATCAGGGTCTTGCTAAGTTCCCCAAGGTGGCCTTGAATTTGTGATCCTCCTGCCTCAGCCTCCAGAATAAGCTAGGATTTTAGGTACACACCACACACCTAATACATATATGCTTTTATGCACTTGTTGATAGTTTCCTAATTGCAGTTTTAAAAAATCATGTGTTTTTCAGTGTTGTTATAGTATTCATAATTTTGATGGCTATGAAATATTCTCTTGAGCTATACCATTACACAATCCTAAGGGTTTTTCAAGATTTGTAAAATGTGTTCAGATTGGAGAACCTTCTATAAAAGTTTCCTGGCTATCCTGGATTATATACAATAAATAGAAATAGTATATGTATATATGCCTTTCATCTGGTATATTGCTTTATATGTTTTAGAGCAATTTCGTTCTTTAAAATATTGTGAACTATAGCAAAATTTCTTTTAGATAATGTTTAGATTTATTATTGCTGTATTTCTTTCTATTAATTGCAACTAACCATGTTTCTCTTTCTCTCCCACTCTGTCCCTGTTTTTAAGCTAAATGTTGCCACCTACCTACAAATGATATGTTTAACTGAAAATTTCAGAACTGATGTAAAAGACTTTGTAACCTTGTTAACTGCAAATGGTTGTGATATCAGAAAAAGTATCCTTTACCTACAATTTTGGATTAGAAGCGGAGGTGGATTTTTAGAAGAAAGGCCATTATCTCATTGTCGTAAGTCCATATGTTATATGTTATAAGAGAAATTTCCATTATGAGACTGTCTGTCTGTCTGTCTGTCTGTATTATGTATTATGTGGTTGTACTAGAGATTTAACCCAGGGGCACTCTACTACTGAGCTACACTCCCAGCCCTATTTTTACTTTTATTTTGAGGCAAGGTCTTACTGAATTGCCAAGGCTGACCTCAAACTTGTGATCCTTCTGCCTCAGTCTCCAAATTGCTGAGATTATTAGGCATGCACCACCACACCTGGCAGAACCTAATTTTAAAATATATATCAAAATATTTAAAAGACTAAAATTTTTGACCATCTAGTTATCATGCTAATCTTCAAAATACATATACATATCTCAGCTTTGCTCATAAGAAGTTTTGTGAACTTTACAAGTAAGTGATTAAGATTATTAAACTGATCCTAGAAACAGATCTTCTCCTGCCTTTTCTCTCCTTTCTGTGTAACCTCCAAAATTCAATCTACCTCTTTGAACTTGTTTCTTCATCTGGAAAATTAGAATTTTAAGCTAGATAATCTGTAAATTGCTTTTGATTGTGTAGTTGTTGTAAGATTTTAAAAGTAACTGGTTGTAGCTCAGTGGTAAAGCACTTGCCTAACATATGCAAGGACTTAGATTCCATCTCCAACACTGCAAAGCAAAAAACAACCCCCCCCCCATTTCCTACCTCCTCAAACATTTGATTGTTTAATTTTCTAAACTGTTATTTATATGTTTATAAACATGTTTGGTATAAAATAAATAGAATTATAATTATTACTTAGCAACTTCCTTTTTTCACTTATTAAAGTCATATTGGTGGCTAGGGTTGTGGCCTAGTGGTAGAGCACTTGCCTAGCATGTGTGAAGCACTAAGTTCAATTCTCAACACTGCATATAAATAAAATTTTTTAAAAAGGCATATTGGTGATGTCTGTACATCAGTGTATATAGATACATCTCATTCTTTTTATGTGACTATTGTAAATATTGTAAATAAGCTTCCTTTTAGCTTATTTAGTAATCTGTAATTCTGTTTCCCAAGAACTTTATTTCAGAAGTGCTTTTGTTTCTTATTGCTTTTCAGTCTTCATTGTGACTTAACTCAAAGCACAGACACTTATTGAATACTTTCTCTGTGCCAGGTGCTGTGTTATCATGAGTAAGCCATGTTTCTTCCCTGAAGAAGTTGCTAGTTTGTGCTTTCCATGCTCCATAGACACTGTTATGTAGGTTCAGATTCTGATCTGGGAAATACATATTTAAGTAGAACCAAGATGAAGTTCTATAATATTAATGCCCTATAATTTTTTGCCTCTAATAAGCTCAGAATTTTTACATATTGTTTTTTTTCAAAGTAGACATACCTCGATGTTTAATTCAATGTAAGCTGATAGCTTTAACTATTTCTCAAAAGGTAAATATAATAAATAGAAAATGGGAAACATCCTGGTATTAAAAACAAATGAGTTGGGGCTGGGGTTGTAGCTCAGCTGTAGAGTGTTTGCCTAGCACCTGTGAGGCACTGGGTTCAGTCCTCGGCACCACATATAAATAAATAAAATAAAGGTATTGTGTCCACTTACAACTAAAAAAAATATTTTTAGGGGCTGGGGATGTGGCTCAAGCGGTAGTAGCGCACTCGCCTGGCATGCGTGCGGCCCGGGTTCGATCCTCAGCACCACATACAAACAAAGATGTTGTACCCGCCGAAAACTAAAAAATAAATATTAAAAATTTAAAAAAATATATATATATATTTTTAAATGAGTTAATAATAACAATTGCCATGCTACTTGATGTAAATTGCCATACCCAAGAACTTTTTTTTTTTTTTTGGCAGTACTAGGTATCAAGCACTGGGCAAGCACTATACCACCCCCTTAAGAACTTCAGAAAGCACTGGCCAGGGTTGGGGCTCAGTGGTAGAGTGCTTGCCTAGCATGTTTGAGGTACTAGCTTCAATCCTCAGCAACAAATAAAAATAAAATAAACATATTGTGTCCACCTGAAACTAAAAAAAAAAAAGAAGAAGAAGAAGAAGAACTTTAGAAAGCAGAATCTAAGTATAACACAGTTTCTTTGAAGATCTTACATTTTTCATTCCTGCTTTTAAAGAAACACAGAGACTGCCCAAGGTGGTAGTGTGTACCTATATTCTTAGTTACTCAAGAAGCCACGACAGGAGGATCTCAAGATTAAGGCCATCGTTGGCAATTCAAATATATATAAATAAAATTATTTCTCTACTACCACTTTTTTTTTTTAGTTGTAGATGGACATAATACCTTTATTTTATGTATTTATTTCCATGTGGTGCTAAGGATCAGGTAAGCACTGTGCCACTGAGCTATATAGCCTCAGCCCCTTCCTCTACTTATTAAAGGTAGCACCCATTAGACCTTTATATCTAATCATATATAATATTGCTACAAAGTTTGTACATCATATATATATATGATTTTATATGTATTGTTATGTTTTTGTTTTGTTATTACTGTGCTGGGCACTGAACTAGGGCCCTATATGTGTTTGGCAAGTGCTGTACCACTGAGCTACACCTCCAGCCTCCTAGTTTTTTTTTTTTTTTAGATGTTGATGGACCTTAATTTTATTCATCTGTTTATATGTGGTGCTGAGAATTGAACCCAGTGCCTCACACATTCTAGGCAAGCGTTCTACCACTAAGCCAAATCCCCAGTCCTAGTTAATTTCTTTTAAGTAAATTTTTGGAATTTTATTTTGCGAGGAGGACATATTGAGAATTAAACACAGGCCTCACACATGCTAGGCAAGCACTCTGCTGCTAAGCTATATCCCCAGTTCTAATCACGGAATTTTTTTTTTTAAGAGAACTTATTTATTTATTTATTTATCCATTGCTTGCTTGCTTGCTTATTTATTTATTTATAAATTTATTTGTTTATTTGCTTTTTGGTTTATTTATTTATTGGTGCCAGGGATTGAATTCAGGGGCACTTGACCACTGAGCCACATCCCCAGCCCTATTTTGTATTTTATTTAGAGACAGGGTCTCACTGAGTTGCTCAGTGCCTCACTTTTGCTGAGGCTAGCTTGGAACTTGTGATCCTCGTGTCTCAGCCTCCCGAGCTGCTGGAATTACAAGCATGCACCACCTTCTTTTTGTGGGGGTGGTTATTACCAGGGATTGAACTCAGGGGCACTCGACCCCTGAGCCACATCCCCAGCCTATTTGTATTTTATTTAGAGACAGGATCTCACTGAGTTGCTTAGTGCCTCGCTGTTGCTAAGGCTGTCTTGGAACTTGCTATCTTCCTGCCTCAACCTCCCAATCCCCTGGGATTATAGGTGTCTGCCACCACGCCCAGCTGTGTATATTGATAGAACTAGATTACCAGTCTTTTTCATTCTCCCCCCACTCTTTTTTTGGTACTGCAGATTTAACCTAGGGGTGCTTAATAACTAAGTCACATCCCCAGTCCTTTTTATTTTTTGATTTTGATACAGGTACTCATTAAATTGCTGAGGCTGGCTTTTGAACTAGTAGTCCTCTAACCTCAGCCTCATGAGTTGCTGGGATTACAGACATTGTGCCACTGTGCCCAGCAATTTTCAATCTTTTTAATCTTACCAGTTTAAAAGGTGAAACATGGACAGTATTTAACTTTAAATTTGCATTTCTGTGATCACTAGAGAAATTGCACATCTTTTTCCCCCTTGTAGTCCTAGGTTTTGAACCCAGGGCTTTTTTCATGCTAAGTAGGTCCTCTGCCACTAAGCTACAACTTCAGCAGTTTACATTTTATTTATTGATTGATTAATACTGGGGATTGAACCCAAGGGTGATCTACCACTGAATTACATCCCCAGCCTTTTTCACATTTTGAATCAGGGTCCCAGAGAGTTGCCCAGGTTGTCCTTGAACTCGTGGTCCTCCTGCTTCAGCCTGCCCAAGGATTACAGGGGTGCACCACCAAACCTATTGCATGTCTTTTATGAATTTAATAGGTAATTTTTACCTGATTTTTTTTACCCATTCAGTCTTTGCACTTTTTCTTTTGAGTTGTATTGAAAGCCATCATCACCTTATTCGATGTAGGTATTCTCTTGAAAAATTAAATGCATATATAGAAAACAAAGTGGAATATGGGTCCAAAGAGTGTCAAAGCATCTAATTGTTTGATAAAATTTGTTTTAAATATGTATAGCTTTTTCTTTTATTGTAGGAGGAAGTAGCAGAAATAAACAACTAGCTTGCTCTGAAGATGGCCCTGCTTCCAAAAATAACACTAGAAATACCAAAAGCAATCATGTGGACCTTCCCAAATGTGACACTGGCTGTGTTGAGACCTTGTTTGGACTCAAGAACATTTTTTCCCCATCTGAAGACTTATTTTCATTTTTAAAGGTATTTTAATGTGTATTTGGAATGTTACATTTATATTCCTTGTCATCTGTAAAACAACAATTTCAGAGTAGCTGTTAAAAGACTTTTAATTATTGAATTGGTGTATATTACTAAATATTAGAACATTTAATTTCTCCAAATTAGCAGTCTAAATTTAGTTTTTAGACTCAGTTCTATTTTCATGTATTAAGTGGAGTCTAATAAAATTTTAAGAGGAAAAAAAAAAAAAAAAAAATTTTAAGAGGTAAGTGACTAAGTATTTAAAGATAGAAAACACTATATTTATATCTGTAGAAAAACATTCAAACTGTGTACTATTATAACATTTCTGTATTCAAAATTGCTTTTCAGCACAAAATCACTACAAAGGAAGAATGGCATAAACTCATCCAGCTTCTTACAGAATTCCACATGCAGGATGTAGATTTTTTATATAGCAATCTTGAGTTTATTCTACCATTACCAGTTGATATCATTCCAGAATCAAAAACCATTTGTGGCTTATCAATAAATGTGGATGCCAGTGCAGCAAGGAGCATGAAGTGTCTTGCTAGGAAATGTACTGAAGGAGAGCGGCCATTGAATAAGTCACAGAAAAAGAAACATAAGAAAAAGATCGTGACACTAGATGATAGTGATTTATTTGACAATGACTTGGACTTTTCTGAATTTATTAACCTATCACCTGCATCTTCCTCAAATTTAGAAGAAAACAAGACCAGAGACAGCAGTTCAGGGACAAAGAACCTGAACAATAGTTTAGAGTCTAGCATTGAATCTATTCCTCATCCTCCTAAAACACCAGCGGGGAAAAAAAGTTCTGTCCTTGTCTCTCATTGTTTAAATTCTCTCACTGAGTTTATGGATAACATGTCCTTCTTGGATGCCCTTTTAACTGATATAAAGGAACAGAAGGAACTTGGGAAAAATGACTTTCGTTGGACAGATGGAATGGTTAAAAGTGGACTTTGTGATGAGTTTAGTCTTGAGAGTAATGATGGATGGACTTCTCAAAGCTCTAGAGAACTAAAGGCAACTGCAGAAGCTCTTACCTTTACTAAATGTTCTTCTACTATTTCAAAAGCATTGGAATCCTCCTTGAATTCTTGCAAGAAATTAGGAAGAGATCCAACCAAGGATCTTACTTTTAGTGTTTCACAAAAGCACAATAATGTATGCTTTAGTCAGTCAGCAACTGATTTAGAGTAAGTCTTCTTTTGCTTTTTATTTTTCAGATAAATGACAAAGGGGAAATAACTCGTTTATTTATTCTTACTAATTTTAAAATGCTGGACTATTGATCATGTTAAGTCATATTAATAATGTAGCTTCTGGGCTGGGGTTGTGGCTCAGTGGTGGAGTGCTCGCCTAGCCGTGTAAGGCCTTGGGTTCGATCCTCAGCATCACATAAAAATAATAAATAAAATAAAGGTATTGTGTCCAACTACAACTAAAAATTAAATATTTTTTAAAAAATAATAAAGTAGCTTCTAATGAAAATTAAGAAGACCAGAGTGATTTCTAAGGAAGATTAGGGTGGGCTAGATTTGAAAAACCCCTAAGTGACAGGGAAACAAGTTTGCCAGATAGCAGATAGCCATTAAGATTTTTAGTAAGAGCTGGGTGTGGTGGCACATACCTGTAATCCCAGTGGCTGTGGAGGCTGAGGCAAGAGGATTGCCAGTTAAAGCCAGCCTCAGCAATTTAGCAAGGGCCTAAGCAACTCAGTGAGACCCTGTCTCTAAATAAAATATTAAAAAAGGGCTGCAGATGTGGCTCAGTGGGGTTAAGTGCCCCTGAGTTCAATCCCTGGTACCAAAAAAAAAAGTAAAAATTGAAAAAAATATATATGTATATATTTTTTAGTATGTATGAGAGTAATTAATGACAAGAAATTAATCTAGAAGTATCATCCAGTATAGATCAGAGGCAGAAAAACTGGTTAAGTTTGCAATTGTTATTTTTATTGGGCATTAAAAAATTATGTATTACTTTTAATTTCCAGCAGTGCTTGGAAGAGGATATCAGTCATTAAAAGTGTGTTTTCTAGTCGATCTCTTCTGAACCTGGGTAATAGACAAGCTAGTGTAATTGAATACCTGCCAGTTCTCCGCAACATCTGTAGGATTGAGAAGCTAAAAGAACAAGGAAAAAGTAAAAGAAGGTAAAGGCTCTATAAAAAATAACATTTTAGAGAGCTATTTCAGGATTAATAAATATTCTCAAGAGATGAAAATGTTAACTTATATTTTTCTTTGTAATTTTGACAGGTTTCTGCACTATTTTGAAGGAATTCATCTTGACATTCCAAAAGAGACTGTGAATACTTTGGCAGCTGAATTCCCTTAATATTCTCCATTAATGTCTTGTACAGATTATGTGGTCCTTTAGATGCATTTTTGTATTATGTTGATTTTCATGGAAGAGTTTATTTCTCTTAATGTACATTTAAAACAGACTATTTGTATTTTTTTATTGTGCAAATATTTAAAGTGAAAAAGTTGGATTATAAATTGTATATATGATCATAGTTTTTTTCTGCATTTTTGTATAATCTAGTTTTGCTTTGTTGATGTTGTTTTGTATGTGACTGAGCTGTTTATTGGAAGTAGAGTTCACTAAGATATTTCTCAAGATGGTTCAATACAAAACTAATCTATCATCTTTCCCTTTCCTGTTACCTGTAATCCATCCCTTTACAAGTGTCAGTGTTCTGTCAAGTTGTAAATATGAAGCACCTAAATGGTAATCTTTTTAAAATAAGTTTACACAATACAGAACATAAAATTATATATGTAATACTCAACAATTAACTTCCTAGGAAGAAAATTATGCCTCATTTTCCAAAAACATAAGAACTTCCTGGTGTTTTTATCTAGTATACTCCTTCAGCATATTTTACCATTGAATCATTGAATATTGACAAAGTAAAATCAACATTCTAAATTATAGTTTTCTTAAATTATTTTTAGGACCCCTACATGGGTGCTATCTTCTATATTTTGCCAACTCAAATCATTTGCTTTGTAAATTTTTCTTACATTTTATATATCTATTTTGGCCAAGCTGGGGTTCTACCATAAGGTTTCTACATAATAGCTATTTCTATTTAATGTTAAAGTTTGTTTTGTTTTTGCAGTGCCGGGGATGGAACCCAAGACCTTAGGTATGCTAGGCAAGTGGTCTACCACTGAGCTACATCCCCAGCCCAATTGTTTGATAAGGAGTCTTGCTATGTTGGCCAGGCTAGCCCAGAATTCATAGGCTCAAGCAATTGTGCTTCAGCTTCCAAACTAGCTGGTATTGTAGGCACATGCTACCATGCCCAGAAAGGTTGATTTGGCGGTGGGGAGGGAGTATATATTTTTATTTTAGTGATAAGACTTTAAAATATCCCATCACTTGAGATCATTTTGCAATTGGATAATCAGGTGTGTTTAAAATTGCTGTATCTATATTTCAAATGTTTATGTTAATTAAATTTAGAGATTTTAGCTGATGAATTATATTTTTAACTCAAGGATCCTCATTTTATAGTTTTTAAAAGCATAGATGCATACCTCTTTACAAATGTATATGAAGATGTTTTTACCTTATTTGTTCAACGTACCTCTTCTTGTATTGATTAGTACCTTGATCTAATTAAAGGTTAAAGACTTTACATAGTATTATGTAGGAGTTCAAGATGTATTCATCTTGGTAAATGTGTATATTTGTGGTGGGTCAGATATAGGCTATATCCTACAGATTTATTCCTGCATAGGAGAAAATAAGGTGTTCTGAAGCATTTTTTTTTAATGGTACGAAGGATTGAACCCAGGGGCACTTAACCACTGAGCCATACCCCAACCTTTTGAGACAAGGTCTCGCTAAGTTGCTGAGGCTGGCCTTGAACTTGTGATCCTCCTGACCCAGGCTTTAAAGGTTTTTGGTTTTGTTTTTGTTTCATTTTTTTTCTTTTAGCTGTAGATGGACACAATACCTTATTTATCTATTTTTATATGGTGCTGAGGATTGAATCCAGCACCCCATGCCTGCTAGGCAAGTGCTCCACCAGAGAGCCACAACCCCAGCCCTCTACAAAGCTTTTAAGTGCACTCACTTATCCATTTTTTTTCTACTGAGTTCCGTCATTAGACCACTTACCTGATAATTTGTTTTTTTATTAGAAAGTGATAATTCTCAACAATTGATGAACCAAAGTAGAGTAACTCCATAGGAACTACATTTAAATCATCCAAAATAAAGAAATAAATGGGAATATTTTCCTCCCTATTAGGGAAATGGTTTATTTATTTATTTAATGGTGGTAGGGATGAAACCCAGGGCCTCATACGTGCTAGGCAAGTGCTCTAGCACTGAGCTACGTCCCCAGCCCCTTTCTTAAAACTAATAAATTCCTCTATGATTTAGATTCACTTTTGTGATAAAAGTAATCAAATTTTGATGACTTTTCAATACTTTGCATATTATCCTATGAATGTCTAAAGCTGACGTTTTCACTTATACTTATTTCCAGAAACATGTGGGAGAAGAATGCCACATTTGTGGCATGAACAACTGTGTACATTGTAAAACTATTTGCTAGTAGAAAACAGCGTCAAGGGTGATGATTTGAAAGAAGAGAGACTGATTTTAGTGAGTCACGTTTAGTTTATGTGCCTACATTTCTAAGGGGAGATGTGTAAGTACATAATCACAAACATAAATGTGGAGACTTACATGTGACTGGCAAGAGTATACACGACTCCAGGCTGCTGGAGGTGCTGATGAGGCAGGACTTCTACTTCTTGCTTTATTTATTTATACACATACTTTTAATTATTTGAAATTTTTTCCCAAGAAGCATATTTCACTTTTTATCCCCCAGTATTAGGGATTAAACCCAAGGGTGCTTTACCACTAAGCTACATCCCCAACCTCTTGTTTTGAGATAGGGTTTCACTAAGTTAGGTCAGATAGGCTGGCCTTGAACTTGCAGTCTTCCTGCCTTACCCTCTCAATTAGCAGAATTATAGCTGCATACCACTGTGCCTGGCTGGGTTATTACATCTGAGCTGATTAAAACTGCAGACAGTATGCCAAACCATATTTTTCCTAGAGAATGAGGAGTCTAAAAATTTTGTTGTCAGTTGTCTTAAGCTTTATTCTCATAAGTCACCCATAAGAACTAATTTTTCTCTATTTTTTAACAACATAATAATGCAAATCCTCAATATAGATGGTATCTACTTGATAAAAGCAGAAAACTTTGTTTTTCTTTTAGCTGGGCAGGGCATTTTATTGATGCTGAATCCCAAAAGGCACAGAATCTCAAAATATTTATTGATCTAGTCTTGGCTTATTATTGTGTATACCATTTCATAGCTGAAAGTCAGACATTAAACATCTAAAACATACTCAAAATGTGTTTTATTCTCCATTAACATGGTTGTTCAGAACAGCTGATTTTATAATTAGAATAAATATATATAGTACAACAGAGCAGGTACATTCATCTCAGAATTCTAAGACTCGGTGTCAAAAACCGCTAACTCATAGAAAGCAATAGCTTGTAACAATGAATCATATAACTCTTCTCTTCTGTGTGAATCAGGTGGGTCAGCAGATGAAAACATTTGTCGATAGTGTACCACTCTGTCTGGTGGAAAGAACACCCGAGGCTTCGCCTTCAGTACAGATTCAGAGAGGAACTGCTTCACTAGTTCTTTCCCACTAGTCCGAGTGTCGCCAATCATCAGTTTAAAGTGCTTCCCAACTGCATTCCGATTCATGCTCAGCACATGATGCTGGCCATCCTGGGTGAAAGTTTTATTTAATAAGGCATACAGCATGGCTTCTATGATGTGAAAATGTAACAGTACAGGAAACAGAGATGAGTTCTGAATGGAAAGTCCTGTTTTTTCCAGAACATAGAAATCTGCTTTAGGCATTTTTGAAATGACTGAAGAAATCTTTATTTAAAAAAAAAAAAAAAAAAGACAAAATAAGTAAGCAGAAATAATTCATTTAGTTTCATATTTAGTCCCATTTCTATCTTCAAATATTCTAATTAGGTAACTTACATAATATTACTGTTGACAATTTTGAAATAAGAGAAAAAGCATTTATGGGTAGTCAAGCTCTGGTCATGATTTTTTCAGGAACAGGCTGAGCTAAGAAAATGTTTAGTTCTCAGTACCAGTTTCTTCATCTGTAAAATAGGCTTCATAATTTCTAAAAACCAATAGGGACTTAATTTTAGACAATTTGCTGGGCAGACACCTGTAATACCAGCTATTCAGAAGGAGGAGGATCAAATTCAAGGCTAGCCTGGCAATTTAGACCCTGTCTCAAGATAAAAAATAAAAAGGTGGGGGTACAGCTAGTGGCAGAACACCCGAGTTTCAATTCCCAGTACCAAAAAAAGACAAAGATTACCCAACTCAGAACTTTTATGAACCATTTAAAATTTTCTATGACAGGGACTGGGGTTGTGGCTCAGCAGTAGAGCGCTCATCTAGCACATATGAGGCCTTGGGTTTGATCCTCAGCACCACATTAAAAAAAATAAAGGTATTACATCCTACAACTAATAAAAATTTTTTCTAGGGCTGGGGATGTGGCTCAAGTGGTAACGCACTTGCCTGGCATACACGGAGCACTGGTTCGATCCTTAGCACCACATAAAAATAAAAAATAAAGATGTTGTGTCCAACAAAAACTGAAAAAATAAATATTTAAAAATTATCTCTCTCCTCTCTTAAAAAAAAAAAAAAAATTTATTACGACAGCCAGGTTCGTAGTGCACACCTATAATCCCAGTGGCTCGGGAGGCTTAGGCAGGAGGATCACAAGTTCAAAACCAGCCTCTGCATGGGCTGGGGTTATAATGCAGTGGTAGAGTGCTTGCCTAGCACATGTGAGGCAATGGGTTCAATCCTTAACACTACAGAAGAATAAACAAAGGCCCTGTGCCCATCTACAACTAAAAGTATTAAAAACAAAAAACAGGATCCTGTCTCAAAAAATAAAAAGGGCTGGGATGTGGTTCAGTGTTTAAGCACCTCTGGATTCAATCCTCCAGTATCCAAAAAATAATAATAATCTAGGGCAGAGTATAGGATTTTTTTTTTTTTTTTGGGGGGGGGTCAGGGATATCAGGGATTGAACTAAGGAGCACTCGACCACTGAGCCACATCCCCAGCCCTATTTTGTGTTTTATTTAGAGACAGGGTCTCACTGAGTTGCTTAGTGCCTCGCTGTTGCTGAGGCTGGCTTTGAACTTGAGATCCTCCTGCTTCAGTCTCCCAAGCTTCTGGGATTACAGGTGTGCCCCAGTGTACCCACCTAGAGCATAGGATTTTAACAACTAACCAAGAATTAATAATCTCTGCAAATGACTGAACAGCAGTTTTCATGTGTATAATCAAGACAGTAATTCCCAACCATTTCAAAAGATTTTGAAGACTTAAATGA